TTAAAGCTAACCCTTTAAATGCCTGGAAAGATCATGGGTGAGTAGGCTGTGAGCACCTCTATCACTTGTATACACGTCTGGCAGAACAACAGATGTAAGAGGGCTGCCATTAAAAGCGCTGTGTGCTAAGAAAGCATGTCATCTGCTTAAATATGTAGGAATTATAGCCTTGTCTGAATTAGAAATGCTATTTTCCTTTCAGATTACAAGAATAGCTGATGGAGGGAACAGAGTTGAGCTTTTGCCTTTATTTCTTCCTTAAAAATGAGCAGCAATGGTTTCCTGAAAAGCATTTTTTCTCCCCTTGTTTGATGGGTTATTTATTGCTTTTTCGATTTGTGTTTAAAGGCCACAGAGTCCAGTGCTGCTTGGCGATTCTATCGACTGCTTCAGGTATTGTGCAACCATGTGTGAGTCTGACCGCAAAGAACATTAAATCAATGGTAACACAGCAGTCAGACATCCGGAGAAAACTTACATGGGCAGTCTCTATGGTCTGTGAGCGTCAAGAAACTGCAGAACAGAGAAGAGCTGTTCCATTTGAGCTATTACCCCTGACATTCACATTAATAGCCACAGTAACCAAGTCTAACGCAGAAATAGAAGAAAAAAACTGTGCCTCAAAGCTGACGAAAGTTATGTTGGAGTGTATTCTAAAGCAGAGAATGTGTTATGGTGCATAGAGTAGACTCATTTTCACAAACTGTCACTAATAGTATAATTAGCTCCACGCCGTAAGCCTAAGTAGTGACAGCATGTTGTTGATTGTAGTTATACTCAATGTTGACACTGTTTACTATGCAAACAGTATAACTAAGAACGCGACTCGATAATGTAGTAGGCTGTAGTGCTCTTCTTGGGATTGCCAGACTGCATAATAATGCAGCAGGTATGGCTCAACATCTGCTGTCTGTGACTACAGCAAACCGCAGCAAAGAGAATAAATAATGCAGTGACATTTCACTCCCTAATGAGATTCTCTTCAATCAGCTAAAAGAGCAACTTTTGAAGTATAATGCGGATGAGGCAGGACTTCATTAAAGTCTTGTTTAAGGAAAATATTCAGCACAAAAACATGGATGCAGAGAAGTGAGTATGGACTCTGGTTGCGTGCATTTGAGACACAATTGGTCCCAAAACCATTCAGGCCAAAAGACTTTAATCTACAGTAACACATAGCTAAGGACAGTTTAACACCATTCAAGAGAGGACTTTATATGTACAAAAAAAACACAGATCCAAGTGTTAGCATATGCATAAAGAAATCCCACTCACAGAAAGACCCGCCCCCTTACTGAGCAGAAAATGAAGGGACATGGACTTTACAAGAAGAAGAGAGGCAAAGGGAGACAAAGTGCGCAAAGTGAGAAAGAAACTGACAGAAAGCGAGATAAGCTGAGAGGAAAAACTCAGGGGATGTGGGGGGGGCTTCATGGGAGGAGGGGGAGAAGGAGAGCGGGAGGAGGAGGAGGAAGAGAGCAAAATGACACACTCAGAAGCGGTGAGGCAGAAGTCTCATGTGATTTAGAGTAGATTTAGAAGGGGAAGCCTGTGGGGGAGATAAGCAGTGAAAAAAAAAAAAAAAAACAGCACGAACAGCAGGTTTGCAAGATCAGGCCAGAAAAGTAGCCCAAGCACCAGAGGGGGGGGGGATTCACATAGAGGGGCCATGTCAGATAGCTTCTTACCCCTTTCCTCGTCTCCAGACACAAAACCAGGGGAAAAATAAATATTCATTCCCTCCCCATGTGCCAAATTTTAAAGACTTCCCAAAGGCTTGTGTCCGTGAGTTCCATGTAAAACAGCCATACACGGCAGTTTAATGAAACAACTACAAAACATGGTTTTCACCCCCAGAATCCATAGAAAACATCCAATCTTCAAACACACGAGCTATAATTCATTCACACATTCCATTTCAATTTAGACAGAGAATATAAAAGCCATATGAATTAAATCTACAAAAGGTAAACTTTGACTGCTACTTAAAGGCTTATTATGCAAATTTTCACACTTAAATGTAATAGAAATCAATTATATCCTCTGAAAATAACTCTGTGAGTCATGTCTACAATGGGTGTAACACCCGAGTCCCACTGTCTGCGATGCTTTCCGAGCTTTCCTAGCCGTAGCTTCACTTTGTTTACATCGCCCGGACAGCCAGCTGGCTCCTCCCCTCAAATATAAAAGTTGTTTAATTGAGGGACCAGAGAAAAGAAGAATAACATACTGCACTCACTGCTTAATTGAATGTCTTGAATGATTCAAGATCACGGTCATTTCGGGTAAATTTACATGCAGTGTGAAGATACGAGCATAATAAAGATCACTGGCATTAGCATGCTAAAACAACAATGCAGCGCGAGTTGTTTTGTTTTCATGCTGGTGTTCAAGGGCGACATCTGCTGGATCAAAAAAAAAAATTGCATATTAAGCCTTTAAAGGTGTTGCATTATTACACACCTGCATAATTTTTTAAAATTATGCATGTGACTCATAGATCAATGCCGGTACTAGAATATTTGACTCTAGCGAGGCTAAAATGAATTGTGTTATAAGTGGATAAAATCCTGACTGTTAAATATTTAAAGAAATATCTGAGCACATGTAAGGAACGGTAAAACAGACTGAAATGAATATTTAGTTTCCACTATGACACACAACAGCATCCAGATAATCAGCGAGAAGATTGATTATTTCTACACAGTTCTTTTAAAAGCCTATAACCACTGCGGAGAGGAAGCGTCTTGCCCAAGAACACATCTGACATGTAGCTGCAGGAGCTGGGGATTGAACCCGCAGCCTTCCGTTTAGGAGACGACCGCCACAGCCGACATTTTCCACTGCAAAGATTCCCAATGACTGATACATTCGACTGCTAGACTGCTCTCAGGAAAACTACTTACATATTTACAGTACAAGATGAGGAAATCGTTCCCAAGAGCTTTAAGGGCCATCAAGCTGATGAAAAAGTTTGGTTGATTTTTCTGAGAAATAAAGTAGATTTGATAGGAGCCTATGCTTTTTATTCATGAATTGTTGAATGATACTCTTTTAAAAATTCAGTTTTTCCCTGTGGGAATGACGCAATCCTTTTAAATTACAGTGAGTTGTATGTTTTGGTAAACAACATCACTTATTGTGCTTTTGGATGAAACTTTGCCATACTCTATCCTAATAAAATGTTGAAATATGGAGCCTAACATATTGTATGAGTACAAGAACAACATAAGGTGTTTTGCTCAAACCTTCTGAAGAGTAAGTGGCAACCTGCTGCTACAGTAGCAGCTACGGTAGAAGCCATTTATTTTAGCCAACAATGACTGGGAGCCTCTCATTTCCCTCTGACAGATGGAGGGGACCAACCATAAAGCAGGAGCAGGAATCATTAAGTCAGCCAAAGCTCTGCAGAGTTGTTTTAATTGTGTGCTCTGGAGCTGTAGGCATAACTTACCTGATTGCTGCTATAACTAACTGTCTTCGCAGAGACAGACGAGATCTTCTCCGTGGACATTTAGAGTGTGATGTGTGTTTCCGAAGGCTCCTCGGGGAGAGGATGATGAGGAGAGATAGAGCGTCGAGGAAACAGAGGAGGTAGTTCATCGTAGAGCGAGCAGATTGGACGCTCGCCGCCGGAGACAACCTCCACCAGCAGGAGCACCTGGCTAATGCTTCCATGGCTCACAATTTACAGGAGGCTGCCGCTGGATGTGCTGAGCATTGTCAATGTGACACCCTATGGAGGTGTGGGCCTACGGTGCCGACCTTCTGTGTGTGTGTGTGTGCCAGGCAGAGCGCTCATTCAAGGCGTTAATCAATGGCCTTTCAACGGTTATACCGCTGGGTCTGCGAATCAATCACTGAATAAAGCCGAACAACGTGAACGCACACACAAAGTGCTGGATTAACAAAAAGGACATATTCAATACACACAAGATCATCTTTAAGAGGTCGTACACACACACACACACATACACACACACAACTTACTGATGTGTTGACAGGTTGGGCACAGCTCACACTCCCTGTCTTCTGCATAAAGGCACATCAAATTCTGTTACAGATGATAGTCTGCCAAGACTCCCTACTTTGACTGACATACAAGCCTGTAAATCAATCCACTTAAAACAAGCTCTACTATAAGCTCCCAGAGACTGCATTGTGCCAGGCAAACTTTGCCATGAGAGCTTCAGAATCTGTCTGTTTTCCCAGATGATGCAGACAGGTGTCTACTGCAGAGGAACACAAAAAGACAACAACTGCTTACACCAGCACTCACTCATCATGGAAGGGGTTTCAAAGCAGCTTCAGCCGGGTTGTTAATAATCCACGGTTATTTAAATAATAAATGTCTCTCGCCTCCTCTTGAAGCACAGTATCATCACTCCATCGAACCCTGGAGCATTACAGCCGCATATATCGTGTGTAGCGGTATAGATAATGTTCCCTCATCCTGCATCTCCCTCCACCAGTTTAACAGTCTAAACACTTAATCTTGTCAAAGGAGACTCTTAATAAACTCAGAGGGAAGCCCTGCTTTGCCCTCAGAGAGAAACAAATGCGGTGTACAGCAGCGATGATCTGCAGCATCAAGCCCGAGGCGCTAATGCATATTTATGCTCCAAACTCATTAATCAGTCGCGCACAGAAAAGAGCGCGTGACAACGAGGGACACAGAATCAGAGCTGGGGATACTTTACTGAGTGTTGACAACGAAAACATAATAATGTCCAGATAGCTCATCAATATGAGAAAAATAATAAATGCATGAGGAACAGCGACCTCAGGGCCACTGAAGAGAGCTGTAGGTAGATTTTTTTATTTGCTAAGTGATTAAATATTAATGTCAATGAGGCAGACCCTGAATGGAAAATGTGGCCGCAGAAATAAACATGTGTCAAGGTTTTCTTAAGAAACCTTCTTCCAGCTTCTTCTGGAAGCTGATCTTTAATGTGCGCAGAGGCAGTTGCTCCAACAGTTGTGTCAACAAGGAGAGGTACCTGTACTCTTCCTGGGTGAAGATCGGGATGCGAGAGGGCTGGAGGACAGTGATCTCCACCAAAGTGCTGTTAGTCTTCACCGGCTCGCCGTCGTCATAGGCGATCACAAACAACTGCATTGGACAAGGGAACAAACAAGGTCAAAATGCAAGCACAAATGTTGAGCGTTATTCATTTTTTCTGTCCGTACTACCACCCACGACACAAATAATTCTCTTTCTGAGGTATCCAGGTATTTTTTTTGTGAACATGTTCTGCATTCTAATAAGGTCTGACTGGCAAAATGGGATCTGGCGAGCAGCCTGCGAAGCTTGCAGAGAGCGAGGATGAATGTATTGATCTACATTCATAGACTGTGGAGAATGGGGGCCTGGGGGGAGCAGTGGAAGAGCGAGGAAGCATGGAGGAAGAGATAGGCAGCCAGAGAGTAAACAAGACAAATATTTGAAGAAAGAGAGAAAAGGAAAAGAAAAAATGAATTTAACAAAGAAAAGACAGGGTAGAGGTAGATAGATTACAAGGTGGTATAAGCCACAAATCCCCATTAAGACGTCATGTCCTCAAGCACCTGGTCCTCTGCTCACAACTACTGATGCCCCTGTGTAAGGTCACCTTAACTTGTTACAAAATCTTTATCTGAGCGGGTATGGGAGAACATGTTTCATCAATAATAAAGCCCGGTGGTCAAAGACACAAGGAAAGCAATGGCTTTATCTTTGAGTCAGAGAAAAAAAAGCCTAAAAAAAAAAATCATACTACACCAAAACATGCAAGACAAAGCAGTTAACATCCAAAACAAACTCTCACATTGCACATGATAAAATAACTCTATTCTTGTATTTCTACAATGAGATGAGATCTTATTGATATCACTGTTTTAATCAAATTACCATCACCTCTACCTCTCAGGGCCACCAGTATGATTCTAATAATTTATTCTCTTTGTCAATATAAAAGAATGTATATATGTCGACATGGGAAATGTGGAGCATGTGCAGAAGGCCTGTTTGGGTCAAGTTGAGGTCTATAAATCCAAACCTTATCACCTAGGTATGTCAGACAGACTTGAGAAATTCCAGAGGATGACTTCAGTTGGACTTACATGTGTTTTGAAAGTCCAGTTTTAGTCAGACACAATGAATTAATTGTTTTTACATCAGGTAATGTACTGCCCATGAACCTCCACTCACCTTAAAGGTGACGCTTGGCTCTTCATTAAGGTTGACCTTGGTGACGACTCTTCCAGTTTCCTCCTCCACATCAAAGATGCTCCCGCTGTACGGCGACCTGTCGTGGTCCACTCTGTAGCGGACAAAACTGGCCGGGGTTCCCTGGAGGAAGGAGAACAGAGATCATGAACTGCATCAATCAAATGACAGTCCACTTATGGACACCATCATTCACGTTTTCAAATGAAGTCCTGAAGGTGTGAAGAGGGCTTGACCATGATTAGGAGTTATAAGATGCTCTGAAGCTATAAGGGCAGGGCTAGATGGTTGATATAAGTATAAAATAAGAAATGGTATAATCATGCTACAAAGCTGAATCCGTTCATTTTTAAGGATTTTGCTCTGCTGTCTGTGTGTCATGGAAAATATCTTAAAGTTATAATCTCAAGGATTTCAAGTAAATTCAATGTCTGTAAACTCAATGGGAGAGGTAGTGAATCAAAAATTGTTCATAAGCCTCATGTAATCGACATACCGACTAAAAAATGACAAGAGTCTTACTGAACCACACTGAAATATGACACATCGATTGAGAAAATATGACAATACTTTTTTTCTTTGTTTTTTAAAGATTTATTTTTAAGCTTTTTGTGCCTCAATTGGGTAGATAGGACAGTGGACAGAGCCGAAAATCAGGGAGAAAGAGAGTGGGGAATGACATGCGGGAAAGGAGATTCAAACCTGGGCCGTCCGACTGAGGGACCACAGCCTCCGTACTTTGGGCGCGCGCACTAACCAATGTGCCACCAGCGCCCCAACAAAAACATCCTCAATTAATATAAAACAGAATATTAAATACTAAAACAGTGTTTTAATACTAATGAAAAACACAAATCTTCAGACTTGAGATGGGAAATTGGGAACTGGGAAATTACAGGATTGCATATCTGTTGGAGTGAAGACCGAAACCACACCTTCAACAAACTCTTCTGTGTCACCAATGAGAATGAAACGGTGATCTTTCAGGTCACTGCTTTAATGCTCTTATATACAATCTCCTTATTAGACAATCTAATTTAAATCTAATGTTATTCAGTGATTCAGACCTCTTCCTTTTCATGAGGAGTAAAAAAAACTTCTCCATTAAACTCCCCCTTCAAGTCTCCAGAGTAACATACTTAGATTCATTAACGGAAGCCTGGACTTAAATATGACCCTTTGATTAAGATGAATCAAGGCTCCTGATTACTAATCATCTCTATAGCTTATCTTATTCCAGTTTCATTCCTTCTGACCTCAAATTCAGTCTTGTTTTTATTACGCTTAAGTAAAGTTCTGCTGCCTCACCCGAACTGATTTTACTCCCTGGGGTATTGGGTAAAACCTGGGGCTAGAGAGAGGTAAAATCCTGTAGTAGAAGTGGATCCCTCGGGGGGCTTACTCACACAAATGTGTCTTTGAGAGGTTACAAAACTATCGGAGTGAATTCACTAAAGGGATTCTCGAAAAAGAAGAGTCTCATCTCTAAAAGCTCTCCAACTTGTTTTCTAACATGTAATGGAAAAGATGTCGGGGCAGGATCATTAATAAAAAAGCAACTTCAACAGAAAACCCTCATACAGTTGCCTCTGTTGCAAGACCTCTACAGTGAGGCAGGAAGAGACGGTTCAAAGTGTTTCGCTAAATTCTAGACGTACAGTGTTTTAGTCCTAGAATAGCAGGACCAATATGGAAAATATTTAGTCAAATACTGAAACAAATTGGGGCTGCAGAGTGGTGCAGTGGGGAACACTGTTGCCTCACAGCAGGAAGGTTCCTGGTATGAAAAATGTCGGTGTGGAGTTTGAATGTTCTCCCTGTGCATGTGTGGGTTATCTCCAGGTAGTCCAGCCTCCTCCCACAGTCCAAAGTGAATGTGAGTGAGGCTGGTTGTCATTCTCTATATGTCAGCCCTGGGATTGACTGGCAACCAGTCCAGGATGTACCCTGCCTCTCGCCTAATGACGGCTGGGATCGGCTCCAGCGCCCCCCCCCCGACACCCTCGACCCCGAACAGGAAAAGCGGTATAGATAATGGATGGATGCATGGACTAAAACCATTTTCTTCACTGATGACACAATACTTTTCAGATACGTGTCTTCGTTTTCTGCCTGATTAAACTGCAGGATTTCAAAGCCATTTTGGTTCCCTACATACTGATCAGGACATTTTCTGCAACATATCCCATTCAAGCACTGAATATACATTAGATACAGTTACATCTCAGTCTGCCTCTGTCTACAGATATTTTCACTTGCACCACTCCTTTCTTGCCAGGTATTCTACTCACAGACTATGAATGTTTTATGTCCGCCTCTAGAGTGAACTCACTGTGCCATTAACAATTCAGGCGAGCAGCAAACCCCTCGACATACAGTATTTTAGCATAAAGTATTTTCTAACTTATTGCAACCAAGGCATTCTCTTTATATAATAATCCAATTCTCTAAAGAAGGAAATTGCCTGTTCATGATTTAAAGAACACAATTTGGAAGCACTTAGCCCACTGAGTGATGCTTCAGAGACACACAACACGACAGCCTTAAACAGCCAGCCTAACACAATAATAGAGCTTCATTAGGTGGGGTTACATTAGAATAAAATCTTCATTCGATTTACAAATTACTAAAAAAAGGCTGGTAAAGAAATTACAGTGTCTAAAAGGGGCAACAGTAACTGTTCTCTGCTGTAAAAATAAATCCCACAAATGAAAGAGAAACTTTTAATTTCATTCATAAAAGACCCAATCAAACTTTTAACAGGAGCCTTTGTCTCCATGGCGATCTCCTCTCTCATTCTAGGTGACATTAACAGTACTGTTATGGGTTTGATTGGCACTACCGCAATTCAACTTATCAACTTTTAAATTTCAAGTCACAAGTCTTTGGTCTCAAGTCGTTTTGTGTTTTACGATGTGTTCTATTTGGTCAGATCACAGGTCACAAGTCACAGATCATTTTATAAGATCAGGAAATCGAGAAACATATATATCTATCTATATATATAGATAGATATATATCTATCTATATATATCTGCTTGCCTTTATTTTTTAAAAAGGTATAGTGCCCAGGCCACCCCTGGGACCCTGTGGAACCGCCCCCTTCATAAAGGTGACAAGGGGAGCGTGCATTTAGCTGCACTGTGTCTTCAGTGTTTGGATAGAACACAGCACTGTATGTTTTGTTTTGATTTTAATAAAACATAATGTTGCATTAAAGTGATCTTTTATTCAGTTTGGCTCTGCTAAATCCACTCTGCTTAAACAGCAGGGATTAACACTTCCCTATAAAATGTGAATTTCTGTGTTTAACAGACAAAATAAATGAACTGGCTTAAATATCCTAATACATAGATCTTCTAATTATTTAACAATGTACTGAATAATAAACTGACATTAGCTCGGCATGACTATGTCAAACAGCTGTGTCTCTTATTGGAGGAAATCCTTATTTCTTTAAAATATATTTGAATACTTATTAACAATGTTGTTTTTTAACTAATTGCTGAAAGGACAGAATAGAGGTCATTCAAAGTTTAGACCCTGCCCTCAGAATGCCCATTGGACAGTCAACCTTCAAAACTATAACAAAGTATGTTTACCAGTACAACCAGATCAGGTCTCTTTCTCTTTCTTTCTGTTTGAAGGTTTTTATGAGGTTGTGTAACACAGAGAGAAAGTGAGTTTGCACACTATGTGTGTGTGTGTGTGTTTGTGTGTGTGTGTTTAACAAGCACTAGACTAAGCTCCTTTCCATCACAGGTGTCTATGGCAGGCATCCTGTCAATAAAATGCTTTGAGCTTCCAAATCCAGGTCAATAAGAGACTGGGTTATCCAGCTGCTGTTAGGAAATCTAATCCCTCTGTCTGTCAAACCACTCTGCAGAGTCACTCCCATGATTCACTCACTGCTATTGAGCTCATGTTAACATAATGATGTGCTCCTACCTATTACCGGTGGCTCATCGCTGAAGGATATTTAACTTTAAAAAATCGTCTAAAAAGGAGAATTTAGTTTAAAAAATGTTATGAGTTGGGGGTAGACAACAGCTCACACAAAAATATGAGTTAAGAGACAGCCAAGTAAAGATGGAGAGAGAGAAGCGGGAGGAGGGAGAGCCTGCCTCTGAGAGGGGAAGTGAGACATTCAGTAGTCTTTGTGGCTCTCTGGAGATGTTTTATGACCCACAGCAGGGACTGACAGGCTTCCATATCCCTCTGCAGCACATGTAACCAGAGCTCAACCCTGCCCTTGTGAGATCCCACCAGCAGGAGGACCACTGATAACAAGCATCGAGTCCAGCCGTACAGGACTTCTCTGAAAAAAAAAAACTACATGCAGAGCTGGAAGCTATAAAGACAGGGACGTCGCTGGAGGATTGCTTTTCCTTTTCATTTTAAACAAAACAAGGACTCAAGTGTTATAGGAGAAAAAGCTGGCTTGGGGAAGTCTGTATGAAGAGAAAGAAAACTCTAGCTCAAAAAAAAAGAAAGAAAGAGAGATGTGAGTGAGAAGACTGCTGACTCACCAAGCGCAATAAAATATTAAGGTGGGTGGCAGCACCAATAAAACAAGTTCAGCCGGGGTGAATGACGTGGAGGCAAACATTCTGGGAACTTGCACTATCCTAGATATACATGTAATTCTCCTGACACACTTAAAGCAGGGTACTAAAAAAGTCATGTAATGAATCCCCACCTAGCCCAAAAAGCTTCTTTTTTTTTCATTCCTCCTGTGCAGTGCCTCTTAAGAATACAGTTTCAAGTCTCAAAAGGGTGTCACCATTTCTCTCTCTTGCGTTGAATAATTTTTGCGCCTTGTTTTGCAGATCCCACCCCCCCCCACCTCCACCTTCACCACCATATAAAAAGAACAATCTTCACAGCTCCAAGTCCCGGGAGAATCTGCTCAGATATCGCGAAGTAAAGGAGTGTGGGGAAACACAACTTTGTCGCAGGCAACTGGTAGATGACTCATAAAAGTGAGGAAGCTAAACAAGGGCCTCTTACAATAAACACACACAGCACTGTAGCTCTAATGAGAGCAGCAAAGTCTTGAAAACATCTTTAAATTGCATCGTGTCAAATGCTACAGCTGAAATTGGCTGATGTTCTGAGAGCACCATGCAGCAAGGAGGTAGAAATGAAGCGAGGCTTTTATCTCTGCTACCCTTATTAAAAAAACAGATGGAGTCAACATGCTTCACAAGCTTCAAAATTGAAGCACCAATAGGGTATATATTGCATATTTTAAGAACATATTTTTAAAGTGTGGTATTATACTCACTGGTGGATCTTGGTCTGTAGCAGACACAGTAGTGATGACGGTTCCTTTCTCTGCATTTGGGGCCACCATGCCCTTATACAGGTCTTGGCGAAAGATGGGGGAGAAGTCGTTCATGTCCTGAAAACAAAAAGAGATACCATTAATAAACCAGTCATGTATTGGATATATTATGAGCTGCTTTCTTCTAAGCATTGACGTCTTCATTTATTTGGTCAACACTGGAATAAGTGTTCTTTTACAATCCTGCAGAAATTCTCTCAATGACCTGATTTGTTATTAAAAGGGTCAAATTAATGTTTCAATGCTTTTTACTCATAGTGCTGATGGTGTATGCAAGGTAAAAGAGGAGGGTTATAGCAGTATAGAATCTGAAGCTGATTCAATGTTTGATTTGAGCCTCGGGGAACCAACATGCCAAGGCCACCGCCTTTGCCTGCTGCTACTCTACAATGCCCCCGACCCCCATGCCCATCCATGCAGGTGGTGGCCCCACAGCGTGGCAACTCCATGTTGTTTCTTTGGATTCAACCTGACCAGGCACCATGGATTAAAACCAAGCCACCTATTCCTCACTGTGGAGCCCTCTCCCAATATCTGGATCCAGAGGGGTGCCATGGTCTCCCACTTAATGGCACGATCCATGTGTTCCCCTTCTGCAGCCTTCATGGAGGTTTTTGAATTGCTCTCTGTCTGGACCCTCCCCTGAAAGAAGGGTGACTGGGCTTAGCCTTAGAGATAGGGTGCTAGAGGGAGCTCAGAGTAGGGGTGGTTTTGGCATCTGATTAGGATGCCTCCTGGCAAGAGGTCTACCAGACAGATCCAACTGAGAAGAGACCCAAGGTCCAACCCTAACCCTAACCCAAAGGTAGACCCAGAACGTGCTGGAAAGGTTACAGTATATATCCCTTCTGGACTGGGAATGCCTTGAAACGAGGAGCTAAAAAAACATAGCTGGGGAGAGGGACGTCCTGGACTTGCTAAGACTTCTGCTAATGTGATCCGGCCCCGTATGGATGGACTTCCAGCAACGTATTATGGATTCTGACAAATTTTCTCACTGCAGCAGTTCACCACGCTCCAGGCGTGTTCTCTATCAATTGTTCATTTGAGCTAGATCACATATTAACACACACTTTATTCACAACATTACACATGAAAAGAAGCCATGAATATTTTACTTTAGTTTATTCGCCAGTGGGAAAATATGAACATAGATATTACAGTGGCTTGCTGATTAAAGCTAAAAGAACATCACATGTTAATTGAACCAATAAACTCTTTCCCTTTACGCTACAGCTTGTGTTAATGAGGCAAAAGGTTGATTATTAATCACACCGTTCATTTAAATTGTAACAAAACATATGGTGTCTGATCCCCTTACAATTGATGACATTTTCTGTGTTTCATTTCTTCCACTTCTTTCCTATTAATACACTTTCACATTAGCTTCTGTTCTAAAGGCTTTTTATGTTTACAAGCAAAACACATTTAAGACAAGTTTTATTCTCTCAGGAAATCTCAAGGTAATGGAGCCTGAATACTTAAAGGGGCACTAGTGCTCATTTCCAGCTCTCTATTTTTATACCAGTACTCCTCCAAAGTAGCTTGGCATGATTCATAGATATATAAAAACCCTTATTTATCTTATACTGGCCCTTTTTTAAAGGTCTTGAATCCAACCTCTGCCTCAGACAAGCCATTTTAGCTACTTTTTCTTTAAAGCCCATGCTGATTTGTGTCTGTTTTGGCGCCCGCTGTGGGGGGAGGAGGAGGCTGGCTTGGAAAGCAAAGTGAAGGGATGATAATTTCTACAACTTGACTGGAATTGGCGCCGTCTCTAATCCGTCTGAGGCCAGAATCTGATCCACAATACAAAAACGTAAAAAGCACAACATCCGATATCTCAAAGCCAGACATCTTTGTTCGGTCGATATTGCATCTTTAAGTTATACTTTTTTGTAACATAATGGTGGATTGAGATTTTAAATTGTAGACATTTTCTTCTATGCATGCCGACTATTTTCAGCCTATTCTTGCACTAGAACGGACTGTGTACAAGGAATTCAATATGTAATATCAGGCAATCCAAGAACAAGGACATAAAAAAATAAACCTAACGCTGCCTCTTACAACAACCCAACCAGCATGAAGTGAAGCTTTGAGAATGTGTATTTATCTTTACATGTATCCCTCGTTCGGGGTTGGAGCAGATTGTTAGGACTCAGTGATAGAGTGCCATCCAGAACACATTTGGGAACTTAGCATTGCCTCTTCTTTTAGTCATAATCACCCTGTAAATAATGCACAGCAGAGCTCTACCATTTTTTGGGCCGGCAAAAAAGTGAAATCGTGTTAACTGTGCTGCCCTTGCTTTGCTCTGTGAGAATGAAAACACAGTAAACCATTCAAATATCTCTGAGGAATAGCTTAGCTCTGTAGTATAACTGCTGGAGCCTGATCTTCCCTTCACTTGACTTTTCTCTTTACTTTTCACTGTTTTGACTGAGCCATGGCCAACAGTATGGCTGCTATAAACTCAGCAGTGGAGGGCAGCCTCACTTTGATCCATAAACAGGTTTAGTCTTCCCTCTTTAGAAAAGCTGTGATCCAGTTCTTACATCGAATAACACAGGCCTGATGCTAGTTCTGCAAGTGTTTACAAGATGCATGCAAAGACATGCTCATGTTGCGCTTGAAACATGCGTGTGCATATCCATGTACACACACAGTACTATTTTGTCCATCCATGCACACACACACTACGCGCAAACACACACAGAGGGTGTCTGTGGTACGTTTCTGAAGTACAGGAATAGAAGCAAAAGTTTGGGTGACTCATTCGGAAAAACAAGACACGCAGGACACTCAATCCGTCACTGCAAGGCATCCGACAAAAGAGACAACAACAAAACCATACAAGGGGAAATCAAACACAAGTGACTTCAAAAAAAACCCTCTGGGGGTTCTGTATGAGAGAGGAAGTGGAATCAGTGGAATCAGCTCCATCTTTATTCCCTGAGAAGCTTGCGTGAATCCATTACGCTCATTCTAATTCATGTCTGCCATTTCAAATAACAGACATGGGTTTGATATCAGTGGCTGTGCGATGCCTTATCCTATCAAACGCTGTTCCTGGGTGCAGGAACACTACAACAAAGCTTGTCCTTATCGGAGGACAAACTCACTACAGGTTGGCGGGCCATGCGGCGGTGCCTGCTCGAATAAGCTTAAGCTTTTCCTCTAGTCAGTGCAAGATACAGAGCCTAATTCTGCAGACTTTGAGACTGTCCCCAGGGGTGGACTGGATTCACACACAGAGATAAATGTGAATGCACAATATTACCCACAGAGCAAAAACACAGGCCCATAATTACACAAAAGCACTCACACACAAACACATGAATAGTAACGCAACCCAGAATGTCTAATCCTTTCTTCGGGATTCAGCAGTTAATCTCTTGAAAGGTTGCAAAGGGAATTCAATCTCCTAAAAAACCTGACATAATTGCTGTCACAAAGCTAATGAGTCATTCAGATCTGGAATAGCAGAGTGTACACGGCAGAAAGGTCTATCCATCAAACCCTTTTTTTATCCTGGTGATGGGAAGGGCAAAGCGGCCAAAATGTGTTTAACGAGGGAAATGCATCCAGCTTTCCTTTCAAATTACATAACACCAAAAAAGTCATGTTAAAAAAGGAGCTTAGGTGCCATAGTGTACAAGATGTCTCAATCCCCTTTTGGACTGTGAAAGCTTTTACTCCTGTAAAACTCTGCTAATGACTCACTGTCATTGCTGCAGCTCCTGGGGGACAAAGAGGATAGATAGTAGGAGAACACACCAGTGAGAGGTTGTGATGGACTGACTATCCTAGGGGCTCTTACCGTTATCCGGACCGTGACGGTAGCTTGCCCCGGGGGCATGACGCCTCCCTGGTCAACAGCCTCCACCTGGAAAGTGTACAAGGCCCCCATGCCCATAGCTGCTAGGTCCTCAAAGTCCAGGGTCTGCAGCACAGCTAACTCCCCCGTGACAGGGTTCAGAGAGAACAGCTGTCTGGCAGATTCAGTTTTGATCCGATACGTGACGTTGGAGAAAAGGTCTGAGTCTTCTGCCTGAGAGACGGAAGAGGAGAGGGAGAAGTGGGGAATCCAATAACAGTACATTAAAGACAACAAAGGACACACAGGGGAGAAAAAGTGAGGGAAGGAACGAGAGAGAAGAAGAATCACATATTTTCATTATTTATACATACACAATATATATGATATATATTCAATTAATATTAATATTAATTTTTCTATTTTAATTCTGCATTTCTATGCTGCAGGGTTCCTTTACATCAATCATTAATAGATTCTGATTAAATTAAACCTCTGAGGAGAGCTTTAGCTGGCCCCTTATTGCAGAAAATCAGATCTCTCAGAGTTGATACGATTTGCAATGGCTACTGATTTGATGGAATATCTTGTCTCAAACCACTTCACCACATGGAGGAATTATTTTCGCCATCAATCGTCTGTTTTGGATTTGTTGAATTCTCCATTGTTCTGCACATTGCTACACACTTAGTAGTAGTAAAAACAAAAACTTGAGATACCTTAAGGTAGAAGCATACGTTTTTAAGCTACCTACTTTAGCCACTTCCTTTCCTAGGAGGCTATCTCACAATCTCTCTATTGCTCTTTGGATATCTTGCAAGCCACCCATGTGCATTTAGTCTTGAGGTGACATTGTCTAGGAGATAAATTTAGTCACATTGCCACCGCCACTCACACCACTAACCCTCAACCCTCACCCACTGCTATTGAGCTTTCCCTCTGCCTTTATCCGTCTGTGAGAAATGTCACTCACAATATGCCAGCAATTACTCGCTCTCTGATCCGTGTTTGCTCTGCATGCCAAAGGTTTCCCCCTATTCTTCACTTCAGTGCAATCACTTCCACCGAGAGAGATTGAAAAGTATTCTCTGAACTTGTGCCGCATTATATTAATGTTTGTCAGGACAGATGAAGCAATTCTTCATAGAAAGCCTGCGCCCTTATTCCACAAACATTCTGAGAATACTCTCAGAGAGCCCCTAACTTTGCTTGAAAAACTCTAGCAAGGAGTGATTCAGGAACACTCTCAGAGCAAATCTGAGCAAGGAAGGGACAAACATGTAATCTTAGTAAAGAGATGTGGTTGATCCCCTAAGTAGGTATGACACATTGTTTCAAAAGCTTTGACTGGTCCATCCAAAAAGGGCCAAACTATGCAAAGCATATTACGATCATAATTCGTGTTCAAACACTTCCTAACCACAATAAGCAGTAATTAAGAGGGTATTATGTGGAAACGCTTAGTTAATGGCCTATTACCTATAGATTTTCTTCATACAGAGTAAGGTACTAATAAGCCCTTAATTGTGACTAATAAGCAGCCATTATGCTACTAATGAGCACTCTAATAAGCAACTAGATAATGATGATAAAATGCTACCGAAAATTGGCATTGTAAAGGAAAGAGAACATGATTGGCTTATTATAGCATGTAGTCATTGTGTAATGATGAGCAGTTTTTTATGTTATTTCTGTTAAAAAATGTGTACGCCAAACTGTAAAAGTATATCTTACAAAATGTTTAAAAAATACATTCCCACTTCAATCAACTTTTTTTAGGCTTATTTTTGGGCTTTTTAACTTATTTGGATAGGACAATGGATAAAGTAGGATATCTGGGAACCATGTGCCGGAGAGCAGCCTAAGGTCGGAACTGAACCAGGGCCGCAAACTTGGAGGACTATAGCCCAAGCACATGGGGCGCGATCTCACCACCGGGCCATCAGCGCCCCATGTGAGCACATCTCTTATGAGATTTGCCATTAAACATGTACTCACTGTCATTCAGTGATTGGAGAACATTTATCCCATCTTTCTGTCGTTCTTCTCCTCTGCTTGGGAAACTCTTAAGCCTCTTAAAAGTTCTCCTCACTATATTCTGCAACTGTTTTTCACCTTAAGAGAACTCTTTACCAAGAACTGATGTTAACGTTGAGGGGAAATTCATAGAAAATGTCATGGTTCTTAGAATTTTCTTAGAATTTTGTGACTAGGAGCAACTCTTTGTTCTAGGAAGCTTTGTGAATACAGCTGCCTGTTTTGACCTGGATAATGCTGCATTGGGTGTTTTTCTATTTGAGTATAAAAATGGCAAAAGAGCTGTCACGACAGGGGAGAAAAAAAAACCTTCTCTCTGCCATGTATATGAGGCTGTGTATGTATCTGTCTGAGTAAATGTTTCCCCCTGGAAGCACTTGATATTTTAAGCACAAAATTGCCTGCACTTTAAGTTCAACGTGCTAAAAAGCTTTTTACTGCAACAACAGAGCTAACCCTAACGCATTATATAAAAGGAGACAGGAGACAATATATATAGAGAGGAATAAAATATACAGATAAGCACTATACTTACGCTCAGCTTCAGGACCAGTGTTCCCACAGGGCTGTTCTCGGGTACATTCACAACATATGTTTGCTGGGAGAAGACCGGACTGTTGTCATCAATATCCATGACCTGGATGGATACCGACAAAGTGGTCCGTCTGGGATCCACAGCTCCATCTGAAGCCTCTACTACTAGATCATACTGGCTCCTGAGCTCACGGTCGAGTGGCACTCTTGTGTAGATACTGCCATTAGCACTGATTGTAAACAGGTCAGGATGATTCACAATCCGGTAGCGCACCTGTCCATTAGCTCCTGCATCTGGATCTGTGGCCTGGGGAGAGAAAAACAAGAACATCATTATCTGTTTACAAAACACATCATCTTTTTCTGGGAATAAAGGAAGACTGTTCTCAATTCATTCTGAATGAACATTTGGGCAGCTTGCCTGTGCTTATTTAAGTTCCCATTAAACCAAATGGATGGCTTATCCATTCATCTTTGGGCTCTTTTATGCCTTTATTTTAGGGACAGGAAAGTGGATAGAGTCAAAAATCAGAGAGAGAGAGAGAGAGAGAGAGAGAGTGGGGAATGACATGTCTGAAAGGAGCTGTAGGCCGGAATCGACTTTTGACAGGAGCTATGGTGATGTAGGCCTAATACATTCTAGGCATCAACAAGTATGAAAACAGGTCATCAAGTCCTTCCCAAACGGGTTTATTGCAAAATTAACAAGAAAGCGGAGCGGTCAATCAAACAAACTTGACAACACCCACATATTCCTGAGTACAGGTCTAATCATGTTCTCATCACTAACACCTGTGTGGGTGTACATAGGCGTTCATGATATTTGAGTTGCAGTGGTATTTTTCATTTTTTTGAAACTATTTTAAAAGTTGATGACTCATCCTTGCGGTGTTACTCTTTTTGTGTACCTCTGCCATGACAGCAAGTGCTTTCGGATACAGTCAGAGCGCTGGACCTACAAGCTAGCTTGCGTACTATGCTTGCTAGCATATTTGATATTCCTGCCACTCACCCTGCTGTTCTCCTGGAGTTTAAATTTCTCCAAGTTTTCTCCACACATCCTATGTAGAAAATCTGCCCATTCAATCTATTGTCCCGTATGTCACACATTATCTGACTCAACAATGAATAACACGTTATTTTAAAGGTATGTTCATGGTTCGTTATCCAATTTTGCTTCTGATTACACGCTTGGTAAACACAATCCCTCACCCCTACTCTTCTCTTGGAGTTTCAATTCTTCCAAGTTTTCAACAAAGACTTACAAAAAACAAAATCTACCCTCTCTTTTCTTTTGACTAAGTAGGCTATCACAATGGTTGTGATTGTTGCTGTTTTTTAATCCACTCTTTCTACGTTTTTGTCTGTTGTGTCTAGACAGAGAACGAGAGAGACGAGCATATTTTCATACCCACAGACAAACAAATCCTATTTTTGGACCAAAGTTTTGATGCTCTGATGTCTGTTTTTCTGATGTCCTTTTCAAAAATCAAGTTAGTGAAAAATAATGACTATCATTTGCTGTATCGGCATATCTGAACTTGTTCTAGTAGCTGTGTCAACACAAACTGAAAAGAGAGACAGAGTGAAAAAACAAGCTTGGATGGACGGATGGATTTTAACAAACTGATGTTTGGCAACACCTTCACCATACTAAAGCATCCGCTCTCCTCCTGCAACACACCTCTGACCCCCCTCAACTCCAGTTCACACAAAGGAGTTTAGCACAATCTGAAGAAAGAATTGTGCTTGGGCTCTTGCTATTGCCTGTAGCCTGCATTGTTGTGTTAGCTGGCTAAGGTTGGCACACTTTAGTTAGCTTGTAGCTTCTTATTGAATGTCATTGTCGAATCACGACTCGATATGTGCTATATTTTTGTGTGAAATGTCGCACATTCTGTCTTTCAACAGTGGACCGCTGACAAAAGATTAAATGTAAAGAACTTTCTGAAGTAAAAAGATTGAAGTTAGTCAAAACTTGCTGCTAAGACAAAACAGAGGATAGCCTAGGCCTATGTTTTAACAATTTTAGCACTGAGAGACAAATAAAAAACAATACAAAACACAACAACAATGAATTTAAAAACTCATTGGCAGATGTATTTCCCTGTAGGCAAACAGCTTGTGTTGTTAGTTTGATGTTATCCATCTTGTGATCGAAAGCCTGGCTTTATTCTAATAACTTACATATTTACAGAGGCTTCAGGTAAAGCTAGATAAACTACAGACCAGGATGAAACATCTGTCAGACGTTTAAAGTCTAATTTCGTAGTCTTTGATGCGGGTCTCTGTTTCAGACTCATTAGCAATCCTTTGTGGTTTCAAAGGGCCAGAAGGTCTTACACCATGCAAACACTTCAGTCCTTCAAAGGAAATCAATGAATGCACAATCACCGTTTCCTAATATACTTTACCTTCTTAAAATAGAAAGGGTCGAAGACACATATTCAGAGAGATTAGGAAAGGCAGTCGTGTTGTGTTGAACCGATGGCTAAATTAAGTTACTTGCTTACAAATTTCAATTCCCCTGTGGATATGACAGATTATTTTATGCCTGTGAATAGACATTTCTGTACGTGTGTTCAGACTCTAAAACTCTCCCGTGTGGTATTATGTCTTCTTATGTAATTACTGGAGAGAAACAGAGAGAAAGGGAGAGGGAAGGAAAAAGACATGAGAGCGATATGAAGCCACATTTCATCTGTCTGCTTGGCAATAATTTCTCAACCCCAGTGCAAGTGAGAAAGCAGTACAAAGGGAGCAAAAACAAAAGCCAGATGAGGAACAGTGGAAGAGGGAGGGGGGTACACATACACAAATGGCTGCTAAAAGCTGCCCCCAATTTGTTAACATGGAGAGTCTGACAAATATTCAAAGCTGAGGCTAAAAATTGGGACCTCAGCATTAAGCCTTTGCAAAACAGGCTAAAGCACATCATGTCAATATGTGCATATGGATCACAACGTGTCTGCAAAGATTACATGACAAACATTCTCCTCGCTCCTTCCATTGTCACAGGGGTAATCCAGCCTTTACAACCAAAAATGTCAAACAAACTTGGGTACTTCTGTATCCATCCACCAAAGAATAAAGTACTAGTAATAGTTTATATAGTAGTATACGTTATTGTGTCTTCAGGACATTTTTCTGGCTATCACTAGCTCATCACTTCCTCACTTCCTGCAACAGCATTTATTTCAAACAGGTAGCTGGCACATGCTTTGGATTTTAAGATGGTGGGCAGACTCTTTGCAGCACTTGTGAGCAGCAGAACATCTTACAGGTGCATGTGGTAGGAGCACAAAAACAAGCTTGAGCAGGTAGCTGCAGTCCCACGCAATCCTTTAAAATATGGTACCTGAAAAATGTTTCTCTTTTGTATGCTGTAGGCCTGCATGGGTCCAATGTTTTTTTTTGTTTGTTTTTTTGTTTTTTTTTACATAAAGAGCCTGTTTATCTTGCTCTGGATGATTTGTGCTCAAACCAAAAAAATTAAGACAAACTGCCCACTTATACTTTAACTGGAATTTAGTTTCAAACACATGCCATCTTATTAAAACCAAGCTAAAATGTGAAATAACTTCACACACAGTACAGTACCTGCACTTGCCTTCCGTTAGTTGGAAGATAAACCCATCAAACTCTCTTTATCAACACATCTGATTTGCAAACAACAAATAGCACGTGTTTGACAGCCTCCGCCAATTAGCAACAATTCTACATGATGCTTCCGTGATGTGTCTGATGCAAATGCTAATCAATTTGTCCTCCGGTTGTCTGAACACTCAGAGTATGGCTCCCTGCTGTGAGCAAACAGTTAGAGCTTGTATGTTGCAAGATTAGAACAAATGACTTTGTTAGAACAACCTGTAATGCTGTCAACTGAGATAAACCGGTTTGTCATCTCCTGCCAATGTGAGCATAAGTAAAGTAAGAACAGGTGGGCACCAAGTCCAATTATTGTAACCATAATCTGAGCTGTTAGCATTAAGCTACTTAATAGCATTATCCATTGGCACTGCAGTCATCTGTACCTCTGGCAATTGCCAGAAGCTTTTTGGTTGGCTGCTTATTAATCCCTCTTTGCAGGTATATTCAAGGAATAACAGAAAGAAAAGCCAGATTTTACTATAGCACATAGCATTTTATATGTGAACTGAGTAGACGCTAAAAGAGATGCATTCAAGCAGTCTGCATCTCATCCTTTCTTCAATCTTGCATCTTGACTTCTTTTCTTTTTAGCGTGACAACAAGTTATACCACTGTTTTGTCAGGAACAGCATTACAACAATATTTCACATCATCAGACACATTCAGACGGGCAGAAATAGAGCAAGTATACAGAACACTTGTAAGTCTATCATTACAGATGATGAAACATTGAGAAATTGTGACAATGCTCTGGCTGCACAAACTTTTGCTTTTCCAATTTCTCTTTCGCTATGGGTATGAGGAATTAAAAAGTTGACAGAGTCATGTTTGTCCCTCAGTGTCTATGAGCAGCATGCATCTCTTTTCTACATGCACTAATTTTGTTTTTAAATTATTATCAGTATGAGCATTTAGTCTTCTTTTTCTGATGTAATAAACCTTCAAAATAAATCCTGACACTTTTCCTCCTCTGCTTTTTTAGATTTGATTCCTCTTCACTGCATGTGTACACTGTGCGATCCCACAAAGGCAAAGTGAGACTTAAGGACATGTGAAAATGTGACAAAGATGCATTTCATTGACATTATATAAAATGATTGGCACATTTACTTCGAATGACACATTTTGTATTGCTGAGAAAGAGCAACTGATTCAACTAAGAGCCCAAGGATAAAGTAGATTTTGCTATTGCACCATACTAAAATATATACAAAGTAAATGATGTTACAGCCCATTTCTTTGCTAATTTGAGCCCCTCACCCTTAAGTTTATGGAATCATACAGTTCTGTGCAATGACCTCATGATCAAATGCAAGTATCCGCAATACCTTGTATGACAGATGAGGAAACGTCTTCCCACCATAAAAGGGTTAAGCAATGGAGATAGTCAAAGAAGTAAATTATATAAAATGAACAAGTTGATTAAGGAATCACAGGATGTAAATTAATGATGTAGTGGTTGATTTGACATGCTTGTTTATTCTCTCACCATAAGCATGCAGAACTTTAAGATTCAAACGTGTTATGATATTTCAAGTTTTCATGTTTTAGCAAAAGTATTTCTGAGTTTAACAAACTATGGAAAAACCTTTTGTATCTTTTCTTCTGAGGCAGCTCATAGTTCTTAAAAAACCCAAACCAAACCTAACAAATCAAGATCATCACATCACAGTTGGAAAATACATTTAAACTGAGTTAATGTCATAAAGATTAAACTAAACCTTTTAGACCTATTTTTATTGTTCTATTAATTAAAATTTGCAAAGGGATAGACCTGAGAAAAAAATTGAAAATATCAGGATTTTTAAATGTGTTCAATAAAAAGCCAATTAGTGATTAAGAAAATAATAAAGCACTATCAAATTAAATATTTACAATTAAAAGCATTAAATAATGCTTTTGGTTTTTTGGAAAGTCAAGATAACTAGTATGAGATGAATGCATGGGTGTGGCGGTAGAAACCATAATTTTTGTTATTTATTTAAGTTGATAAAATGACGTTAAGAGAGATGAGCTGCTAAAACATTTGAAAAGCCAGGTAAACGCAGGTGTCATCTGCGTATATTTAGTGTGGAATCTTGCCGTGGGGCAAGATTTTTGCCTATATATGTCACTGAAATAATGTTAGTCAACATAAACAAAAGATCTTTGACAAAAATGTGTGGTCATGTCTTGTACATAATCTCATCTAATAGAGGAACTTCCTATTCTAATGTTTTTTCCAACTTGGGTTTGAGAGATTTAGCCTTTTTATCAAACATTGTGTAATCTTGGGGAAAAGGGTTACATCCTTTTTTCATCAGCTAGCACAGTTAAGCTGTAGCCTCTCTGTGTGCATGTGCATGGAGAGCAGGATTGTGTTGAGCAGAGTACCTTCCCTTATTTTAGTCGGAGATTTTCAGCTTCAGCTCAGGTTGGCAAGATGCCAGCTGAAGCTGCCTTCCAAGGAAGGACAGAATGAGAGATGGCGGGGAGGGCTAAGCCAGACTCTATGTAGCTGCTGGCTGCATTTGTGAGGAAATACATGAAGGTGAAACTGAAGGTACCTCATACAAACACAGAGCTTCTCTCTCATGTCCTTTTGTCTTATTTCACAGGTCATAAACTCGCAACATTTTCTAGAATCTTATTGTATAACCGGCCTCGAAGTGAAATGGGATTCCTAATATTCAAGTGTATATCCTGGGAGGGGACAGATGGTAGTGATAGGAGAATGCATTTTAACCCAGGGAAAATGTTCCTATTTTTTTTTATTCTTCTGCATCTGCAATAACAATGATACGATACAGAAAATAAACATCACTGGAAAAAAATCAATATGTACTTGATGTTTCTTTCCTGTGGTGATCTCATTTATATTTAAATCTAATTACTGAAACGTTTTGTTAGATTTTTGTTAAGATCTGTGACTAACATATGAACATATTTTGGTAGATACAAGACCTACTGAGAGAAAAGTGTATGTAGCTAAGCTGCATCTTATATGTTAAAGGCAGGGTAAGTCATTTTTTCCAAATACACCTTTTAAGATTGTGGTTGAATTTGTCTTTAGGTCCTGACAGATATTAATAATTCATGTGATCTGAAAAAGGTACAAAGGAAATTCGTCATCTGTAGCAGTTGCAAGCCTGTAAAAACTTCGACCAATGTCTGCCATGAAGTACCAGTTTGATGAACCAATCATGCATGCCCCCCTGTCTCCCTACCCCTCGCGTGCACTAACACACACCCGAAGAGCATCACCGATGAAGGAGTTTATCCTGTGAGTTTACTTAACACTGAATGAGACATGAGACGACGTAGTTTCGACACAATGCAAGCAATGAGCTGAGGTCCGCTTCTAAAGCAGAGCTTGCGCATGTAAGTGAGAGGCGTGGCTTTTGATGGAGCACTGAAGGAATGCTACTTTCAAAATCATGAAAATTAATGAACCTGCCTTTAACAGTAATGTGTCAAAAAACTCAACTGTGCAACACCTATACATCTACTTCAGATGCTCATTAGATTGGGTAACCTATTATCAAGCTATGTCCTAACTTACTATCAATCTTATTCCCTCATGATCTGGCTTTGGACTCTAGTTATTAAATTTCATATTGTGATATTGTGAAACTTAATCAAAGATCAGTTCCTGAGACAACATGAAAACTTTAATCGTATTACCTTTTGACAATACAAAGATACAGTTTGACTTTGTACCTCCTCCCTGTGGAGCCCTGCTGCTTCAATGCTTTGAAACTTCATTTGATCATGATCAGGAAGGTATGCCTCAGGGAAAGTAGAGGGAATTAAAAATAACAAAAGCCCTTGATTTCATCACCTCTTCTGTTTAGTTAGTAAGCATGTACAGTAGGTGCATATACTCAGAGAGGAAGTTTTCCTGCCATTATTCTGAGATTAATCGACTGACAAACATCAGGGCGATTCATCTGCAACAGTAATTAGACAAATCTGGCTCGGTGGTGCAGAACCAAGCCAGGCAATGAGGCGCACGCAGCTCTGGGTTACAAATCTGTTCAACCCTGATCATGTTGGAATTAGAAGTTATTTTGTTTTTCTTATCAGCACAAACAATGAGGAATGAGTTGCTCAGAACTTAGAACAAATGAGGAGGAAAAGTAAGTGAATATACAACACTGGAAAGTAAAAAATGTGTTCTACTGTGGATGTATTTAAAGAGGGATAATTGGTGCAACGGCAGCTGTTTCATTTCAAAATGACAACAAACCCACTTATCTAAGGAAATATCACACTTACCATGACTTGTCCCACAAGCAGATCGGCCTCTTCTTCTCGGGCAGTAAAATTTGTCGACATGGTGAGGTCAAAATCAGGGTCATTATCGTTGACATCAGTGACAACTATGTTCACAGTAGTCGTTGAAGTCTGAGAAAAAAAAAAAGGAAAAGCACAATAAAGATGTTTTTCATTGGGTGCTACTTTAAACTGAGAATTATTCTTCATAAACACAGCAGAGAAACAGAGGTTTTCACATTTGGTTTAGACAATTTGGTAAAAAAAGAAAAGTGGATTAATTATTATTCATGTGAAGAGTTTGGAAAATGAGATTCTCTGAAGCTCAAGTGGTAATTTAAATAAAAAAAGAATCAGGATGAAACAGGTTCAACTTCTCTGAATGAGCTTTTGAAAAACAACAAAAGACAAAAAGAAGTTCCTTTGAGCGTATGAAAACTAAGATCAAAGATTTTTCAAGAAAAAGAAGATAACTAGGGTGCTGTGAAGATACAGTGCATTTTAATGAGAGGAAAATCTTGCTTTCAATATGCATAACAACATCCGCGGTATTCTTTTTTTTTGTTTTTTGTTTTACCAATTTAAAAAAAGACGACTGTAGTGCAGTACGAGCAGACATAATAATTAAGTTTAAATGCTAAACTGTTATTGCTGTTTCGAATAACTGGCATTTAAAGACAGAATCGGTAACTTTCAGTTTTGGGAAAGGAAACTGGAGTGCAGATGTGTTTGAATATGATTTATTCCATCAACTATGACCTTTGTTTTATATTATATTTAAAAATCATTCATTATGAAAAAAAAATACAATTCTGGAAAAACGGATAACTGAAATGTAAACCCTTTAAAGGGCGCTCATAGAAATACCTGGAAATTCAAAATTTCAACTCTAGAGCACTCCTTGTGGACATTGACAGACTTTTATTTTCTACTATAATGACTTTCAATACATTTTGTCATTATCGTGTTGCAAATCAAGGTCAATGACGTGACTATATATGGTTCCTTGCTTGTCAAGGGTAAAAATAAATTCTTCCAAAAAAAGTAGATATTTACTATAAAAATGGTAATTTCTATAAACCATACATAAACGCCATCTAGCTTGATTTTTTTACTATTCAACTGTATAATGTCTGAGTGTCATCAATTAACCATGGTTAGTTGAGATGTGAAAGCCATTTGCATGGAACTGGCACTTCAAAAATTCTGGAAAATTAAGAAGTTTGAGACGCTCTGGGACACTTCTGATTTGTCTGGTGCGGTGAAATCCCTTCCCGGTGACGTAGCCTGATCTTCCCGTGATTGGCTAGGAGAATTCCTGCGATTCTAATGCCTAATGGATTGGCCCATGGGCGCCAAGTTGGATGCAGATGGAAGTTACCATATATGGTCAGTTACCCAATAAAAAGTGTTTTTAAATGTCAAGTTTTTTGTCAAACTCCTGTTGGTGTTCTGAGTTCTCACAATGAGGGAAAAAATAGGTTGGTAAAAATTTCAAATCAAACTTTTCGGTGTATTGATTTCTTGTCAAAATCTAAAATGGTGTAAGAAAAATTGGTAGTCAGTTATATGAGCTGGCACTAGTATATGGATATTTTCTCTGATGCTCTACAGCGTTGAACTATTATGACAGCTCTTCCTCTTGAAGCCCTAAGGCAAAAACACAAACTACGTTCAAAATCAAATTTAACAGAAGAAAGTATTGTGAAACTCCAGACTCTGGGTAAACAATGTGGTTTAAGAAGGATGAAGTCATTCTGATTTTTGAAACTTTCTGTCTGCCAACAATCTATCAGTTCAATGATCTGCAGGTGATGAAAAATGTGTTAGCCTTCTCGTCATCACATTGAAACTTAAACTGTATTAAAAGATGGACAACTAGAAGACTCCCTAAAAGTGAAGCCAAAAGATTGACTGACTGCTGTTGAGGTCATAAGCTCCGCCTCCTCCATGTTAACAAAAGAGACATGGAGCACCATGCCAAATAAACCTTCAAACATGGTAACTGACATCATAGCTAATTCTTATGATGCTGATTTAGTGTTTCTTTTATCGGAAAAGTTTTGATTTTGATGCGATAAGAAGAGCTAAAACGCCGACTGGACAGCTCTGTTGACAAATGCAGATCCTTTAGCCCTGTTTAGAATAAGTACAGTGAAAAGGAACACAAAGATGTAGATACATTCTCTCTATCCAACTGTAATTAAGATATTTTAAACATTTTCCTCTTCTTTCAGTAATTCAAATAAGTGATTTTTTGTAGGTTTATCAGGGTTTGTTTCAGATGGAGACAACATCTCCCCAATATTTAAAGTAGTTGAAATGATCATTGTTTTCTCTTTGTATGATGTCAAGAGTTTTAAGCAGAAGTAAATTCCAGCATGCATCATATATGCTGTGCTCATTCATTTGTAGGACCTATGTAGAGCATTGTACTTCCCTTTACCTTGAAACAATGACACCACTGGCACACCTATAGCACTCCTATAAATCAACATAAAGAAAACAGCTGAACATGCAAACTCTATGATCTCTCAGTGCTCACTGGGACGTAGTTGTGTGCAAAAAAAAAAGGTGTGAATACTCTCCTTTGGGGGAAGGCGGGATGGGCGGGTTTAGGGAGGAGTTGGCTTGTGAAGGAAAAATGAAACCCCTGAAGACATGTGTTTGAAGTATCTCTTGCAGATGAGACATTCAGCAGCTTGTCACGAAGGAAATGACCTAGTTAGTGTCACCTTCATCTGCCTGTCTGATGGGAATTCCTTCATCATTGTTGTTCTCTTTATTCCAGCTTTGGAGAGGTACATAATCACGCCTTTCATGAACCAATTGACATGGAGGACGATGCCAAAATCTTTACACTCCATTAAACCATCGCTCTTTCACTCCTCAAACCAGCATATGAGGAGACGTCGCTTACTGTGGTGATAGGATCTATTTAGTTTTCTTTTCACAGAAGACCTGGAGCAAATTAGCATCTCCATCCTTGTGCGGGAGTACTTATCAAAGCCAAAAATCCTACCTCCGACGGCCACAAGTATGATTAATGAGCTGCTATTATTTATTTAGCATTGAGCTTTCTGATGCCTTGTCTTCTGTCCTCGCCGTCTGAAGGATTCAGAGGTGTCTGCTGGTGCTTTGCCTTTCAAGTGACAACTCTGACCAGAAGCTATGTTGCAAAGACTGATATAATCAGGCTGTTAAGAGTCATGTAGTCCCTCTGCAAAGGACAAGAAGAATAGCTTTATCCTGCATCCTTGACTGACTTTTTCAAGATCTCAGTCTGCTCAGTGGTTATGAATACAGCTTCAACTGTCGAGAATACAAATTTGGAATTGGTCACACGGATTAGCTCAATTTGTTTCATGCACTGGTAGGCGTCTGAGTTGTAATTCAACAAATATTATGGGAAAAGTTTGTGTGTATCTGCAGATTTGACTCAAATAGACGTAGCATCAGGGGGTAGGATGCCTTGCTTTGCTCCTAGTGTGAGGTTCCCATGGTTACCAAAGTTTTCTGCTAATTACAAATCCAAATCACAGTGTCCCTTTACGCCGACGCTGTCTTCTTTCTCTACCCTCCCCCTGTGGATATTTTGATCCTCTTCCTGTCTCCTCGCAGCAAGTCGCCAGGCTGATTGAGTTCTTCACCTTCACTTCCACTCTCCCGCAGCCCTTTAACCCTTTTGCTCATTTGACTTACTTCCTGTTGTGACAGTATTTCTTCCTAGCTGTGACAATTGGCTGGTAATTCACTCTTTGGGTAGGACATTAAGCTGACACACACGTCATACGGGTAAAGGGTGTCATTTTGTACAACAGTCTGTCAGTGTTAGGACAAAAAGCAGCAGCTTGTGGTTGCCTCATTCTGATATGTGACGCCCCTGATGTTGCTCTCCCTTTACTTATCGGCTCTCCGATCCTGTCACTGTCCGACTTTTCAGCTCCAGCTACTTAAATGAATACATTTATTTTGCACTGAGACAGTTCAAGAGCACTCACTTCTGACCTACTGGCATGAATGCTTCTTAACCCTTTGACCTCGCCATATGTTTTCTTGCTTATTAATTCATATCTTTAAAGGTCACATATTATCCAAAATGCACTTTACAATGGATTTCTAACACTAATATGTGCACCTATAGCACCTATGTCTACAAACCCCCCAAATTATGAAAAATCCCTTGATGACATCACAAAGGGCAGTAACCCCTCCCCCAGGTGGGTGACACTCCCACAGCTAGGTGTTTGTTCTGCCCTCTGAGTCTGCCTTTCCGGCGTAAACAATTGTGCATGTTGCAGGAAAGCCCAAGCAACATCCCCTCCAGAGAGGGGCGTGGTCAGAAACAGCTCACTAACATTTAAAGTTACAGACACAGAAACAGCCTGTTCCGAGCAGAGCTGAAATAAAGGGGTTTATTGGCATGATAAAATACAGAATCAGAGTGGATTTTGAGCGAGAAAATGTAAAGACATGTTTTGGTGGACCTCTCAGATGTATCTAATCTTGCTGAAAAGGAGGATAATATGTGACCTTTAACTTAACACTTTATATTGAAACAATCTATACAGACGAGGCTGAAAGGTTTTTCAGGTCAATAATCTATGTAATTTGATAATGTATGAAAATTGCGAATGAAAAAAGGACTTTTATTTTCACCAGACATTGTGAATTAACACACAAAACATAATGTTCCAAAATAAATTTCAATGAAGAAGCATATGGAGTAGGCTTTGCTAGTGTTTTATGTCCTTTCTTGAAGTGCATTTAAATAGTCTGTATACCCCAAAGGTTCATTAATGCTTTATATCTGTTACGGATTCAAACTCTTTGTCTATATTTCCAGTCACTTGTGGGAAGTTTATTTACAAAGGGTTAAATATCTCCATCTGCCCAACACCTGAAGCCTGCCAACAGACCAAAAAAATAAATAATACAGCAGTGGCGTGAGTGTTTATGTGTGTGCAGGTGAGAAGGGGCCAATCAACATCACCTCTGTGACAGCTCATCAGCTAATGTTCATTACCCATCACACGCAGCATCTTAAAAAGGAAAAGCACATTTCTGGCTGGAACAGAGGCAGCTGCAAAAACTGAGCCAACTGAGGTGAAGTCTAATTTAATTAAGACGGTTTATATGATTATCAGCTCTCGGTGGGAGATGGAGCAGCCAGCATTCACTTCCACTTATAGAGTCCTCCGTTTCTCTGGGCTAACTGACACAGACAGCTCTGGGACGTAAACACATGCAACCCACGATGACAAGTGGTTGGTGGATTTTTTTAAAGGAAAACTTCACCTATTGCACACAATTAAATGTCATTTTACTATTTATGCTAAGTAGGAAGATATGAAAAAAAAAAAACAGAACCACTGATGATGTCAGAATGATGTCATCCAGGGTTTCACAGCTTAAGCTTGGACACTGCGTCTTAAAAACAGAACGCCTGCCTTACAAACTGGAGATATGGAGTTTCAAAGAGGTTGGAATTAATACAGAATATAATTAAGTGATGCAAGCATTTGTATGACAGGAAATACAGGGTTCAGATTTCATGAGCCAGGAAGAGAAATCCTGCATGTATCAGCGTCTGCTGCAATGTTATCGACCATTTTAAACCCTTTTCACACATACGGAAATCTCCTGAAAAACTCCAGAGATTTGGCTACCCGGAGGGACTTTAGGCTATGTGTGAACGCAAACAGCCGCATTTTTCGGGTGGACTTTAGCCGGAGTTTTTCCGGCCAGGCCCCTAGTATTTTATCCACAGAATATCCGAGTGAGCTGATGTGAGAACGCAGCAGCATATACTCCGGAGATTTCAACTCGAGCCAATGGGACCAGAGTGACGTTTATATAGTGACCGGCTAAAGGGTCTGACCGCGACCACTACGATCTCCGAGCACGTAATTAAACGGCTGCATTCTGTTTTATGTTCGTCAGTATGTTGTTCTCCTCTCTTTTGTGGATGTTGTCATGCATTGGACTACACATAGCATTGATATAAAGGCAAATATTCTCATAATAGCGTCGTGTAGCGGACTCTGTTGCTTGCCTCAAGAAATCCCCCGCGTACCTTCCCCTCTGACAGGGAAAGTCCCCCGCTGTGAGGAGCATATGTGAACGGCTAGTTCAGGAGAATCTCCGGAGCGGTCCTCCTATAATTATCGAGATATTATCCGGAGTGCATATGTGAAAACGGCTTTAATAATAACACAACATTGAACAACCCTTTCCTGTCAATTATTTTGCAGCTATAACCAATCCATGTTACCCCTTTGTCTGTCATATCTCAGCATATTACCTCCACTATATATTGTTGGATACAATGCTACAATCGTATCTGCCATTTTTTAGAGTTCTTTCTTTTAGACTTGTGTGTTTTTAAGTACTGTTTTTATGATGTACTCTTAATGTTTGTCTTTACATTATTGTTATTCATGTGTGTCTGTGCTGACACTGACAAGAGCTACAATCCTGTTTTTAGTTGTTTTTATACCATGACAATAAAGATCTATTCTATTCTAAATCAAGAAGTAGCTGTTCAATTACTATAAAACTTTACTGCTGCAACAGCTCAAAAATGCCAAAAGTAAAATACAAACCAACAAAACCCACTTTGTGATTGGAAACGAATTGCAAGCAGCAGGTCTCCTTTGTACTTCTGTAAGTCTAAAACTTGGTGAGCAAAATATTTTGCCAGCTCTCGCAAGTTGTAACCAACACTTTTCCATTTGTTTGTGAAACGTTAACATTATTGCAGGGTAGCAAACACCCATTGAGCGAAATTGCATAAAGTCTGAGATTTTGTGAGTGAGAATCATCACTGAAGTTTGAATAAAAGGCAAAAAGACTGACAGATTTCAATATCAATCATTAAGAACACATCTGTACTGTGAAAATATTCAACAATAATTCATTTAGCAGACGCTTTTATCTAAAGCGACGTACATCATAGAGTAAGTAAGGAAGGCTCTATAAAGGAGGAAACAACATCAGTAAGTGCAAAAAAACAGATTCCGGTCCGATTGGACTTATGTCACCTAACTGCTGCACAACTTTGTGCAAAAACACACTTTTGTGTTTGTATTAGAGAGACAGGACAGTGGATAAAGTCAAAAATTGGAGAGAGGGAGGGGGAATGACCTGCGGGAAAGAAGCCTCAGGTCTGATTCGAACCGCGGCCGCCCGCTTCCAGGACTACAGCCTCTGTACATGGGACGCGCAAACTAACCACTCAGTCTACAGCGCCCCTTAACAGGTTATTTAAATCTAAAATTTCATGTACAAATACAGAGTAGGTACTGCATGTATTAAGACTTTTTTTTTGGACTTGAATTGATTTGGCACTAAGACGCGATGCTCCTGACTATTCATGCTACCACAGATATTATGGAAATGTGACAAAATCACAAGGTATTAAGCTACGCGAGTATTCGATTTTCCAGGCTAATGGAGCACTTTGGTTCAGTGTGCCACATTTACAAGCTAATACGCTTCCGTGAGAAGATCTTATTTGAGCTTAATGTGTTCCAAATGTGCTCAAAAGTCATCAACCCAGAGGAATCCGGCTGGAAGCTTCAGAAACAAAAAAAAGGTTGGTGTCTCACCCCTCCAGGGTTGCCGTCGGAGGCTGTGACAATCAGACGGTACTGATCTGTGGTCTCTCTGTCCAGCGGCTCTCCCAGGAGGAGCAGGCCAATCCTGCGGAGAGAGGTCAGAAAAGACTTGTGTTACAGTAACCGACAAACAACTAGAGACTTTAAACAACCTCCTCACACACACACACACACACACACACACAAAAGGAACACAACACAGCGCTTGTTCGCATCATAAGAAGAAAGAGCATTTATTTAGAGACTCGTTCAACAGCTTTTAATGCAGCTGATGCAATAGAGTGTGATGGAGAGGGCTGCACTTTAGAGTTTATTTACTTCCAGATAAGACAGATTTATAAAACATGGCTGATGATAGAGGAGATGAGCTTAGCGGGTAGAGCAGGTGGGATTTTAAACACTCCCACTCTGTCTTTTTCTCTCTCTGTAGCCCGCCTCTTGCTCCCCAAAGCACACCGACTACAGACAGAAAGATTCATGCTTTCTTTCCAAGGACTGCAGCAGACACAGCGGCCCTCCTGCGTGCTCACCAGGCATAATTTGGCATTTTGGCATTCCAAACACAAAGTGGGGACGCATTCCCAAGCAGTATACACGGAATTATCTGAAGCTTGCACGCGCACGCGCACGCGCACACACACACACACACACACACACACACAGGCACACAAGACATGTGCGTGCAAATGCAGACACAAACACAGTTACACACACAAAAACAATTTCAAAGTCACACTCAGGAGAGGCTCTGCCAGAACCACAAATAGAAGGAAAGACAAATGCATCTGAACGCACTGCTAGATTAATGCCCGTCGCAATTCCCCGCCGTCCTCCTGCTCCTTCACATTTCTAATTTAAAGCTCCTTTGGCCGAACAGTCAAGGCAGAACCTGAGCGCTGCTTCTTTTCCTGCCTCTCCAACCCATAACTACAGAAAACCACATAGCCTCATCTTAAAATCTGACAGGCAAATTACCATAACCTTAATTAGAGCCGTCTGTTTCTGCAAGCACTTTTGGAGAACACACAGCTTTTAAAATCCAACATCTGATGATCGGTGGTTCAAGAGGGCAAAAAGCAGCTTTCTAAAAACACCATCAAGATGCATCACAGCATCCTGCTCATGTTTATTTAAACACAAGGATGAGACTGGCCTTCTCGGTTCAGTTTAAGTTGCAGGAAGCGTTGATGTGCATATGACAATACGGATATAATGTGGAAGTAGTTATAGTTGCAGTGATAATGATGATCTTGATGGTGGTGATGACACAGATTAGAGTGATTAATGGCACCAAGTCAGCCTGGGGAGTTTTTTTTTTTATTCCTTACGACAGCTGGAGTGCAGAAAACACACTCGAGTTGTCTTGGAGAGAGGTTCACTGATCATGTGCGATCGCGCCCCGCCTCCTCTCGCGAGTCACAGCACATGAAAAGATGTTGTCAGACAGACAGACAGGATGCTGTTTACAGCCCGGTCTAGAGTGACAACGGCTGCAGGTTAGAGGCTATCCATCCCACAGTCACAGTGAGTCGGATGATCTTTCATTCTGCTCACATCGTCTCGCCTCTTTTTACTTAATTGGACTTGATATACAGAGAGTTAGATCTAGGTTGCATTAAATGAACCCTTGAGTCATGACTTTGATCTGAATCTCGAGAAATTAAGATTTCAGAATTAGAAATATTACTGTGATGGAACAATCTGACTGAAGAAAGGAAAACTTCGGTTATTCTACAAGTTGAAATCAAAGCCAAACTTAAGACAGAAATTTACATTTGAATTGTATCATCTTCAATAATATCCTTTATTCTCATACTATTCATTTGGATCAAACACTGCAGGGTTTGGTTTCATGTATGATAGACCGAACTTTGAAGTCAGACAATCAGCTGCCAAACTGGAAAACAGGGAAACAAGGAGGCTCTGAAATAACAACTCAAGTGTCAAAGTCGGCTTGGCCTGTGGGTAAGAATTCATTTAAACCCTGAGATGCTACACGGAAAAGAAAGAAAGAATGAAAAAAATAAAGAGAGATCAGCAGATCAAACTACAAGAACTATGGATTTCGCCTTGATGTCTTAAATACCCCACCCCCCCAACACGCACGCACGCACGCACACACACACACACACATCCACACACATTGTTAGAATGTTACAATCATGTAATAGAAGCCGCGTTTCTAAATCATTTAAACCCCAATTTGCTCCATTTCCTTCTTACTTATCAGCCAACGTTGATTCCAATTCCCACATACATTTTTACTGTTAAAAAGAATTACTCAGCTCTCTCTGGTCAACAAACCTTTAAATGGAGAAACTTAAATCACAGGGATATACTGTAAGTTCAAAGAGCAGCTATCAGCTCTGAAATATTTAATGGCCTACCACGAGGTATTATAAAGAGCCTGAACTTGATTAAATGTTCAATATCATTTTGGATAAAAAACAACTTTATTCCTAGTCTACACAGACCATAATATTCAAAGTTACTGTTACATGTGACAGCCCTTAAGTTTACCCTGTTCCTACAGGGTCTGGGAATAATAAAAACCTTGGGTCTTTTTAATGATGTGTTTAATTGTTATCCTGCCTCTGTATCCTCTGTATCCTCTGTTATATGATTACTGAGTGCTCTCTGTATAGCACCTGCTTGTTGACTTGAGCCTCTGATTCAAAGCTGCATCCTGCTCACGACCATAAAGTTGAGTGACTCTGTAGCATTCCCCGCCTCCCCCAGGGGAACCTGCCCCATTTATGAGGAGTTATAGACTGGAGAGCTCATTATTCATAATAGCTGGATGGAACCAGCTCCATATGTAGCCTGAGTCTGAACATGCAGCCATGCAAAAATCTCCTCACTGAATCATGCTGCAGCTATGAGGGCTTGAATAACGAGCGTGTGAAGTGGGGCTTTGTATATTGTGCACTCATCAGCCAAACCAGCTAATCATTCTTTGATTCATTTGCTTTATCAGCAGCTGCTTGAAGTTATTATATTGCTAGGTTGCTGAGAGCTTGTGATGGGATTGTAATATTTCTGCCACACAGGGGATGAACTGAAGGAGAATGTGCGGCTCTGTTTCAGCAAGATTTTCCGATTATATCTGAGACCACAGTGGCTTCGACAACAATAGCAGTCTCCCGTGTCACCATGGTTTTGCTTACTATTACTTACTGTGAAACCTTAAAGTAAACCTCTCAACAATAAAAGAAACCATTTTTAACACAGATTAGGAGTTAACAAAAGGCAATGATACAGTGCTGCAACACAGCTTGTCCTCGCGTAGCCTGGAGACTGAGGATGCAGACAAAAGAAGCTCTAATCAATTAGCCTGGAACGTGTCTGGCAGAGTCCTCGATTTTCAGTCTCCCCACGTCTCCTCCCTCAGTATTTACTTGCTTATTTAAGGGATGCTTGAAAGCACTGACCATATTAATATTTGATGCCTTTGCCTGGCTCCTTGCAGTGGTTGAGTGAGGTGGGTTTTTAAGAGTGTTGTTGTTGATTACAAGAAAGAAAGGTCAGATATTTGAGGACTTTTTCCTCTTCAGAAGTATTAGGTGTTATAAACAAGATATTCTCTCAGAAAAGGAGATAGAAAATGAAAGTAAAGGAAAGCAGAACCAAACCCCAGCATGTCAAATAAGTTGAGTTTTTCAGAGCCTTGCCTATTATCTTCTTGACCTTAGAGTTCTTATCTTACCTTATAAGGATCATGGATATTAATGTTTTCGCTCATCTTACATTAGGTTACATCACATTTTGACAATATTGTGATGGTATATTAAAGATTTTGTCATTTTTTTCTCCTCATATCACAGAGTTTTACAATAAAGCTCAGCAAAAGCCCAATATTAACGACTTTAGATCTTGATATCAATTCATTCATTCTCTCTCTTCAACTCATCAGCTGATTGTGCAATTGTGTGTGATTTTGCATTTTACATTTTTAGTCAACCCAATCACACACTTTCCTTCCTTTTCAGTTGTCATGTTAGTAATGCAGATGTGACTCCCCCCCCCCCCCGAATACTCTTTCACCTCGAGTCCTCAATACATTGGGCATCCAATTGAGCCCCGTTTTCACCTAGCGGTCCGGTTCAGTTCAGTTTGGTGCGTTACACTTTTATTGGCGTTTACCAATGGCGGTACCAATGATCCTACTTTTTTGGTCACTTCTGTTGGGGTGCCAAGTGTGCCGATCCGACCCTAAAGGCTGGAGCTAGACACACTGCAGTTTGTTGATTGGTTGAAAGAATCTTAACTTCCTGGTAATAAAGGACAAAAACAAAACGCACCATGTTTAAATTTCCTGCACATTTGGAAAGAGTCATTTCAAGGCTGTTTTTGTCTTTTGTCTCAGAGATTCAGACCTTCCTAGGACTCTTTGATTTTTGTTTTCTGTGTAATATTATTATTACAAATATTACTTATTTGTTGAATTTATTGGCTGATTACACTATAGAATAGAATAGAATAGAATAGAATTACTTTATTGATCCCAAACTGCGAAATTGTGGAAATGTTGCGCCGCTGTGATTTACTGATGTGTAAGGGTTGGGTTGGCTGTGTAAACGCAAGCAAGATCAGGGCTTACCTTACCCGTACCAAACTGGACTGAAACAAATCGGACCACTTGGTGGAAACGGGGCTCACACAAGGGAGCTACCACCATGCTCATCACAAGTCCTGCACATGTCCCATCAATCCAAAGCCTTCAGCATACCTCTGTATATCCCACCACCACTAGAGTCAAGACTCCATCTGGGGCGCTACTATTTAACATCAGGCATACGGACTGGGTTGAAGATCAGCTAACTTCTTGGCTGTCCTTCTGTACTCTCGACCCAGTTGAAGGATTATCCTTCCCAAAAATGCGTAGCAAGAGGTCCGTGTAGGTTCTCAGTCATCCTGGTCACGGTAAATTGGAAGCTTGATCCAAAGGCAACTGGACTTGGTTGAAGATCAATGATCAATGATGATGACCTTCAACCAAGTCCACTTGCCTTTGGATCATGCTTACAATTTACAATGACCTGAATGACTGAGAACCTAGAGAGACAGCATTAAATGTCCTTTTAAAATTATGACATGACAGTGGACTTTGATTGCCAAAGCCTCCAAGTTTTACTGCTTTGTTTTAGTCTTATGATCAGACATTTGCTAAATTTTTATTCATGCATTCTACACTTAAATATTTGCTGTTTGAAATAGTTTCTTGAAAATATGTATTTATGATCTTTTATGCTGGTTCTAATGATTAAAAGATGATGAAGAAGAAGACATACTGAAGACAAATAGGATCCCATGATCATGGACTAATAGACAGATGTCAGGGTGAGGGGGTTGCACATAAGAGTCATGGGCTTGTAATTTTGGCACCTTGCAGTGCTCAGAAGTAAACTGGCACCTCTACTGGCCCAATTTCCAGACTTGGTTTGCACCTGGAATTTAACTGGCAAACCACCAATCAAAGCCCCTACAGACTGAGCCCCTGCTGCTCCATTCACTTTCATTGTGTTAATGTGCTGGTGTTATTTCTATCCAACCTATATGTTGCTTCTTTTTGCCGTCTTTTTTGTACTGAAGACTGTGATTCCTCTTACTGTGCACTTATTCCTTTTCTTTCTCATTATAGTTTTCTTCAACAAACTTTGGGTCATGCATGAAATTTTGTAATTTCCCTTTGAGAGTAATCTTTGATTTTGGGCCTCACCAATTCAATTGGCTCGACTCTGGTAGAACAAGTCAAGTCAGGTCGGTTATCGAGATCACAAATAACCTAGGAAGACTGCCAGAGCAAAAACACATACTTTTCTACAGGTTTAATTGGGATTCATGATGGTGCCAACAGCCAGCAGCACTCATATATTGGCTTATAAATCAGCCAAAGCCAATAATTGGCAAGTCAGAATGTACTCCCTACCATCACGATTGCACATTCTTTTTCTTCTCACTCCATCTTCCCCACAAACATCGCTACACTCTGGCAGCCATAGTATAAGAGGGGATCTAATGATGATACTCAGACCCTGCCGGCTTGTTTGAAGGACCAATGCTCATCACTTGTCCATGTAATGCCTTTGCAATTGAAAGAAAATCATGAAACAAAAGGGTATTGAAAACCTATAGTTGTCTTAATGGTGAGATAAAGGGGCCTTTGGAGACCATTATAGTTTGCCTGGGGCTTGTTAAGAAAGCATTTATCCTTCTGTCACCTTTTAAACCCAAGTCAGCAACATTTATTTAGCACCTTTCATGAAAACATGCAGCACTAAGTCATTTTCAGGAAAAAGATAAAAATTGCACAGCCAAAAAAGTTATGACAGAAATTCAATAAATTCAACCATTAAACTGTAAAATGTTAAATGTCACATGAGTTCATAAAAACCCCTAGTTATAAGAAAATCATTCTATATTTTCCTCTTAAGATCATTTGGAAACTTTGGAAAATACTTTCAATCAATAATCATAAGCCTTTCCACGGATATGTATATCTCTACCATCATCCATCTTTCTCAAGCTGACCTTGGTTTGTAATATCTAATGCACCCCGTGAAAAAAAAAATACTGACTTACGTTTGAGAGAGGTTGAAGACCCCCTGGGAATCGCCGCTCACGATGCGGTACGTGATCGGGTCATTTTCTCTGTCTGTGGCCTGGGGGAAGAAAAAGAGAAGCAGGACCTTGAAGATCACGTTGTTCCATAAAAGCTGAAGGCTGTGAGATATGACAGCCGTGCATCAAGGATGCTTGACTGGAGTGAAAGTTAGAATATGTAGCAGAGTAAAAGCTGAGAGAAAATGGAAGTAACTTTGTTGCTTAAAAAAAATAAAGAAATGCTTTAAAAAAATGATCAAAAAGTTTAAAGCTCCTGTGAGGATCTTTTAATATTAGTCGATTTTGGAGCCCCCCTGTGGACAAAGGGGCACATTGTATCTTTTTGCAGATCTTGTCCAGTTCTTAGTGTTTTCTGACCAAATATTCCAGCCAGAAGTATCACTTTGTGAGTATTTGCTGTTGAAAATGTAAAAAAAAAAAAAAAAAAGCGCTGTTTTCCCCCTGATTCACATCCACCCCTGAAGATGTGGATAAAGGCATTAAATATAATAACTCATTAGTCTTGTTGCTGATGTTCCTGCTTGCTTTTTTAGGTGATACTGAGGCATCATTATGAATCTTAGTCTGTTCTATAATGAGTAAAAAATGTCTCTCAGTAGCTTTAAAGTCAGAGCATCCCACTGGATCGCCTCATTGAATTAGACATTACTTATTTGCGTCGTGACTTGTTTGTGTGTGTTTCTTTCTTGGATCACCTGTAGATTGAGCAGAATCGCTCCTATCCTCATGGCCTCGCTGATTTCCAGATTGTAGTTGAGAAGTGGGAAGCGTGGGGGGCTCTGGTTGTTGGGAGGCAAAACCTCGATGTACACTGTAGTGATGGAGCTCCTGGCAGAAAAGGGGGGGGGGGGTTAAAAAAAGAAGAAAACATCAGCCCACTGACTGCATCAGTTGCTCCTTGACAGCCCGTGGAGCCGTTGTGAAGAACCTTGCCCACAGCACAGTGGAAAATATTCATAATTTGCAATCCCACACTAAAGTGCTCCTGTGTGAGGGTTTTGATTGCAGAAAGGAAAGAAAGGTACTATGAATGTTACTTTAAATCATTCTTTAGTGTCAAACATTGCAAGCCTAAAATTCATGATTTCTTTATAAGAAAAGTTGATTAAAATCCGCCTGTCTGTTCTCAGTTGGTCACATCATGAAAATTAGTGGCTATTTCATAATTCTTATATCTTTCTTTTTTGTGGGACGTATTTTGTTAAACGGTACTGTGCAGTTCAAGAGCCACTTGGTGTAGCACATGGAATCATTATGTCCCCCTTTAGCATGCTTTAGCTTGATTATTTTCAGGGCCATTGGCATGCCTTTAATAGGCTTTGATTTACTTGGTAGTGAGGGTTAGACAATATGGACTTTTTCTATCGTTTCCATACTTTGCTTTCACACAGGATTCATTCTTGACCTTTAAATTTGAAAACAGCAAAGTGATCTTGTACCAGAATCTCCACAATGCCAGATGAAACAAGAGCATCTATTTTTTGACTCACAAAAGCATGTCAGAAATAATATTTCTCACCATTTTTCCTAACATTCCAGAGAAGATATGCCATTCGGAAACTAACTTGTGAATAACTCTGAGCACATAACAGATTAAATAGGACTTGTAAAACAGTGCATGGCTGCATAAATTGGGCAATAACCTTGAATCAAATCTGTTCTTCATGAAAAAGTTATGATTGCACATCAGTTTTAAATATTAAACCTTTTGTTCTATGTGATGCAAAAAATATTTTAACTGTCAGATCGATTGCGAAGAGAGCTCACATCGGTGCAAAGCTACAGTACAGTACCTTCTCTGGGTCTCCGGTGCGTTGTCAGAGGCCTTGACAGTCAATGCGTAAGATCGTCCCACCATTAAAGTGACACCAGGTGCCACGGTAATGCGTCCGGTGCGGTTGCTAATGATGAAGTCTCCCTGAGCACCGGCCAGTATCTCATAAGTCACCAGACCGTTCAGGCCCTCGTCAGCATCTGCTGCTGTCAACTGGGAGAAGAGGAAGGAAATAAAGATATGGATACGCATTATACAAAATAACATGTTGCTTTTTTTGGTCTGTGCTTTTGCAGAGGGAGTTCTGCCCAGCTGCCAGCAATGCTCACTCAACCAATCAAGCAGGAAATATTTCTCAGTAGGGGGGTTTAGTGAAGCTTCCAACCAGCAGAAGAATCAATTTCGGTGCCTTATAATTATCTAATGAACACATGAACTTTGTTTAATGTATAAAGATATTATCTAATACAACTTTTCCTACCCGCTGTGCTCTCATTACCCCTAGTGATTGTTGTTTGCTGACCTAAATCATCAGACGCTGCTACCTTTCATATAAATAGATGGTGAAAAGACAGCTGCCGAGCGTTTCTCTTGGGAAGCAAGATGGAGGGAAAAAAAAGCTTTACATATAAATTTATCATTTCAAACATACTTTGTTGTCACATAAATTAAGCATCCACCATTTCCTTCAAGCCAATTATTCAAGGCATCCCGCTGCCTGTAATTATGCGCCCTCATGCTGTAGTTGGCTTCATATTTTTGGGGCCTTGAAACTTTAATCCATGCTGCTCCGGACCTCCTTCTTCATCCTCCTGATGCACTAGCATCAAATGAGCAGCAGCATTCTCAGGGGGGACTGCGGCTCTAATAAACGGCTTATAAAAAGCGGTTAAGCGGTCATAGCAGACACTCTGCGACCCCTAGCCTCATTTCAGGCAGGGCCAAACTTCTGCTTTTCTAAGGCAGATTAAACTTGACCTTCTCAGCGTCTGACATTTTTTGGAGTGGCTGTGCTAAGAGGACAGATCACGGGAAAGAAGAAAAGATAACGCTCTGACTGCCAAATAGGAGCCAATGAAATGAAGGAGCATGAAACATTAATAGATTTAGAAGAATGTGGTTATTGACATACATTTTGAAGACTGCGTTGTTTGTGCATGTGCCTCTATAAAGGGATGCCCTTTACACATGTCCTGTCCATGTGCACAGAGGCTTGCTTTGGTTGGTTTTCAGAAGAAAAAAAAAGGTCATGAAATTGTGACCTTTAAAGCCAGTGTACTGATGAAATACCAAAAACAATGATCCTAATCCATTTTGATAAAAATTTAACAACTAGATTTTTTGTGTTTGTGTGTGTACGTGTGTGTGTGTGTGTGTGTGTGTTGGGGGGGGGGGGTTTCCACATACAATTTTTTTATGTCACCATGTCATAATGTTTGTAGATTATGTTATAATCTAACATATAAAGCAGAAAAACATCTTAGGGCCGCCACAAAACAGGCAACAGGCAATCGTTTTGTGATCCTGTTGAATCTGATTTTATTGATGATGTCATTACATTATTTTACATACTTTGTAAAATGTAATGAAATCATGCAGGTCGCCAAGGTCAGACTTTGAGAGGTTGTTATGGTTTGGTCTTTTTCTAGTTTGGTTTTTCAGTGTTTAGTATTTCTTCTTGTTCTAGTGTGTTTTGTTCATTCTTGAGTTCTGTGTGTTTTTAGTGTTTCATGATTTAGTTTGTAGTTGTCCTCTGTGTTTCTTGTATTCCTGTCTGTGTGTTTCCCAGTGTGATTGCCCTGATTGTCCTCACCTGTGTTTTGTTAGTCTCACCTGTGTCTGATTCCCCTGTGTATTTAGTCTCTGTGTTTCTTCCCTTCCGTGTCAGTTCGTTGTTGTAAATTGCCAGTGTTGTATGTTGTAGGTTGCTGTTGCATGTTGTTGTATGTAGTCTGGATGTCATTCGTTGGTATGTCAGTTTTTTGCTTGTGCTCCTCTGTGGCTCCTTGGTTTTGATCCCCGTGTTTCTTGTTGAACTTTTGTAAATACGTTTTTGCTGCCTTTGGCCTTTTTGTTTAATTAAATATTTTTGGTTTTCCGCACTTGGGTCCACCGCCCTTTTTTTACACACCGCACCGTAACAGAGGTTGCGTTTTTGCATAATCGTGATGAATTTATCTAAAATAATAAAAATATTTTAGCAAAAGCTACGTAAAAAAAAACCTCACATTTACTTTTAGTTTTACAGATTTCAGTGATATGTAACCTCTGAAGCTGCTTCAAGAAATGACATCACAGTAAGCAAAAAATACCAATGTTTGCACTGAGTGTCAGGTGAAACTATTTAAATGCCTTGTACACTTCTCATATAAAAAGCACTTCTTAAAAAACTAAAGATGTGCATGAACCTTCTTGAGTGTAGAAAAAATATTTTGTTCAGTTTTTATATTCATAATTGTTGGAATTAATACGTTTTGTGTGTTCATTTGCATCACAATGCATTTTAAGATACTTAAAATTATGCAATCACAAAGATCATAATTGGCAATGTTTGCACGGTCAGAGAGAGGACAAATCGTTCTTATTCAGGGGAAAGATTAACACATGACTATCATTGACCCTTAGCACTATGGATTTACTTAGGTCATGATTATTGATCTACTTGGTAAAGGGTTTCCCAGGACAGAAAGAACGTTCTCTCTGACTCGTCTGTCACGCCGGCAGATGAGACAGAGGGAACAGTTCCAGGAGCTTGCCTGTCAACACAATGCATTGGATTGTGGAGCTTATTTGCTTTGAGCATGAAAGACTGTGTGTGTGTGTGTGTGTGTGTGTGTGTGTGTGTGTGTGTGTGTGTGTGTGTGTGTGTGTGTGTGTGTGTGTGTGTGTGTGTGTGTGTGTGTGTGTGTGGGAGAGGTCTGTGTGATGTGGACAAAGACAGAGACGTCAAACAGAGTGCCAGAGAAAGGGATAACGAAGAAAAAGAGGAAAAGGCGAGAGAACGATTGTTGGATTGATTACCTGTAGCACCGTCTCGCCTGGCTGCATGTCTGTGAAGACTTCGACGCTGTAGGATACCTCGGCAAATGTGGGCGTGTTGTCATTGGCATCAATGACCAGGATGTTTACAGTAACCGGGCTGCTCTGCTGGACGCCGTCTGATGCAACCATCTGTGATGACAAGAAAGAGGCATATGGATGCAAGCTTAGCAGTCTGTGAACAAGAAAACAACGTTTATTATGAGAAAATGACAGAAACATTGAGGGTTTTTTTTCATATTCAAGTCTTGACTTCCCTCCTGACTTTGATCATGGATCATGGACTTTTAACTAAGACACCACAGACTGTCAGGATAGGGAACCTGTGATCATCCACCATAATTCTGAACATAGGTGCTCCGCAGGGCTGTGTGCTCAGCACGGCTCTCTTCACCCAAGACGGTAGCTCCTCCAATACCATAATTAATCGAATTCATCGAAAACAAAAAGAAGTCCTACAACAGACAGGGGGTCCAACACCTGGCAGAGTGGTGCTTGGACACCAACCTGGTTCTAAACACCACCAAGACTAAGGAGGTCATTGTTGACTTCCGGTGGCTCAGGTGGACCACACAGTCCCTGCTGACCATAAATGGGGAAGAGGGGCTGATTGTCAACACGCAAGGCAGGCAACTGCCCCAGGCCAGTAGGAGGCCTCGATGGCTGACAAACTTTACATCACAGCAGTGGCTCAAAATGTGCAAATTTTCCAATGACAGTAGGAACCTCCCGAAGGGGGCCCCACCTGACAGCACTCACTCTTGGTGCCCTGCCAAGCATTGCATGCATTGTTGTTTTGAAAACCAAAGACCAAAGAAAGAGTAACAAAAAGGAAGAGGAGTAAGCATTGCAACGCTGGTTGGAGGGCCCCCCCAATTAATTTTTGCCTAGGGCCCCAATAGACTGTAGAATCGCCACTGAAGAGGTGGAAAGTATGAGCGCCATCAAATTCCTGGGAATCCACATAACTGAGGACCTGACAGGGATGCTGAACACCTCCAGCCTGGTAAAGAGTCGAGAGCGCAGCAGGTACTCTTCTTCGTGTGGAAAGTAAAGCAGGCCGGACTGCCCCCACAACTGCTCACAAACTACTACAGGAGCACGATAGAGAGCATCCTCTGTCAGTTCTTCACAGCATGGTATGGAAGCTGCAACGTGGAAAACAAGAAGGACCTGTCCCTGGTGGTAAAAACAGCTCAGAGGACTGGGAGCCGGACTCTCAGCCTTGGACACTATCTATGCTGATCAACTGCAGCAGAAGGCAAGGTCCATCAGCACGGACAAAACGCACCCAGGAAACTCTGTTTATTCCCCTACCATCAGGAAGGAGATACTGCACTTTAAAAACCCAGACTACTACTACTACAAACCCAGAGCTGTAGCCTTCATAACCCCCCCACCACACACACACACTGACAAGGCCTAACATGTAAAATGCTCTGCTCTGACGTGTATATCTTGATCTACTACACACTGTTTGTTTTTCTGAGGTTTTTAATGCTGCTTCTATTGAGATTGCCATATGAATTTTGTTGTAGACTACTACAATGACAATAAACTTCCTCATGTCCTTGTGTTTTTCTTTCAGTTTTTATAATACAGTATCACCTAAACATGTTTCTATCACCACTTACTTGAAGTCAATATTCTGAGGTTATATATACTTAATTTTGATTCCCTTAGCTTTGGAAAGAGAGACAAGTGACAAGAGCTTGCATAAAGCTTGCCTTAAAGTGAAGTTTGCTAACCAAGCGGACTGCATGTTTATTTGTCCCTGGCAGCAGTAGTATCCAATCCTTGTTGGCAAAGGGGAAATAAAGTCGACTGAGTAAAAACAGCAAATAAAGAGTAGGAGAGATGAGCTCCAAACAACAACTGTGGCAGCTGCAGGAAATACATGTTTCTGGGGGGGGGATTGCTATTCCCTCCAAAATCTGCTCTCAGCGCTGAACTCCAAATGACACGTCGTGCTGGTTATGTGCTATAATATACATCGAGAGGGTGCCTTCAGCAGCAGCTAAACGCTTGCAGTGAGGGGTGTTGTTCAGAAACATGTGTGAATATAAACTACAGCAGCTATTTTCTCTCCTATCAAGTAGAGTTTGAGTTTTCCAAAATGGAGAGGGATTCCGGGAAAGGGGAAAAGTAGATTTGGAATATTTGAGACATTCCGTCTGTATGTTAAGACACTCCATTCTAAAACACATGTGCAAGTACTGACACATGTATCTGCAGAAAAAACAAACCTGCAAAACCAGTTGTGAACAATTTCATGCCTCCCTTCTCAACCCTTTCTCTTTCTGTCACACAGAGACAGTAAAAACTGAGACAAAACACAAACAAAATAATCTTCGAAGGCTGATATTTATCTAAATTGGATCTGGGTGCTTTCTCCTCTTCCAGGCCAGGATCCGCTGGGTAATTATAAAATTGATTTGATGCTAGCATTTACCCAAACACAAGATTTCTCTCAATAACAATCTTGGAAAATAACATCATCTTTAGAGGAACAAAAAGCCTAACCTTCAAAGCGTTTGTGCTGTTATCTAGTAAACATTATGTTAACAAGCTTTTAGCAAGACCTCAGGGAGAATAGCCTTCACTTGTAATGTCTGATTAAGTGACCAATTTAGATTTCTTCTCCAAGATGCTGCTTGTCATATTGCAGTTTGACCCATTTTAACTGTTATGTTATTATTATGCCGTTAAATGCTTTTTTTCACAGGCTGGAAAAGGGAAGCGGGGTTGTCAGCTGCAGCTTCAGTTCTCTGTCAGTGTCTCTTTAGGAGGCGTTCAGGAACATCACTGTTTTGCAGGTCACCAGCATTTTGGCAATCCTGAGGGGCCAATACACAATAATGACTTGATGCAGGTTAAATAGAAGGAAAAACACCTTTAGATTAAAAAACGTCCTTCAGGTCAGAGTGTCACAGTAAAGCGCGAATGAAACACGAGCCATTACACAGCCAGTGTTGACAGCTGTGTTGAAGCATATTCATTTGCACATAAGGTAAATAACTGTACAAAGATGACTAACTGCATCCTGTGTGGCATGGCAGGGCTAAATAAACACAATGCACATATTTGTGCACTGCAAGCAAACAATGGCTAATTTAGCAAGTTTGTGAAAGGACAGCCAACTTTATGTAAGGCTGATGAGGAATCTACACTAAACAGATTTTAACAACACCATTAATCCGTAGACTGTAAATATTAATGAACGAAGCCTGAGTGACGTCACCCATCTCTTACTGCAGGGGGTTCTGGAGGCTGATCGGCAGCAGCAACCATGCCAGAAATCCCGTCTCAGCCTAACTTTAAGTCAACTTAATGAGCGGCCTAGAGCTGGAGCTGAAGCAGGTTTTAAGCCTCCCGACAAACTGCTGCATCCTGCTTGCCTGTCAATCAGCTCAGCCTCGTGCCCTATGCATAACCCATACCGTTCATAAAATCAAAATGGATTCGTTATAATATAATTCACTCTCTGTACAGTGTGTTCCAGGCTGTAAAAATGTTTATCTATGCTGAAAAACAGGAATTTTTGAATGGGGTGTATGACTTCTGGGGCTTCTGCATCCAGCCTCAAGCGGACACTCCAACAACTGCATTTTTTTTTTTCACTTCAGCATTGGCTTCATTTTCCAATGCCTTTTGTAAAGCGAACTTAGCTTAAAACAGTACACAATAAAATACAAAAGCATAACATAAACTGTTTTGAAATGCAAAAAAATATAATTTCAAACAAGCTATTTAATATGTGATTATTCACGGTTAACTATTGAGTTTAAGCAATTAAACAAAAATATAAAAAATATTTGTTTGACAGCCTGACTACAAAGCCCTTAGAGTGTTTCTAGTATTAAATGTACAGGAAGTCTCTGGCAAACAACTGAGACATGCACTGAAAAATTAAACATCAACCTCCAGTGTTGAAAAATACATCAAAAGCAGAAGTGCAAAATCCTGCAGTTTGTCGAGTGTCCGCTTGAGGCTGGCTGCAGAAGCACCGAAAGTCACATACACAACCATTAAAAAACCCAGAAATTAGCACGTTTACAGCCTGGTTCAAAGAATGGAAAAGGTCTGATTAGCAATATGTCTATACCAGCAGATTGGGGGATGAGTCTTTTGATGACTCATCTGTTTTTACTTTGATGAATTATAAGGGTTACTCACAATGAGGCGTGTAGCTGACCTGATTGACAGGCATGTGCGGTGTAGCTGTTTGTCAGGAGGCTTAAGACCTCTCTTAGCCTGTCGTTAGGGTGACTAAAAGTTATTGAGTGAGAGCATTTCCTGCATGGCGACCTCCATCAATGGGCTTCCAAAGCCCCCTGCAGTATCCGACTGTTGATGTCAATCAGCATTAGTCCATTAATATATACAGAGTCTATGTGGACAATAAGCACCACTTTTTAGTCCGGTAGAAGACAGGAATGTACAGAAGGTATCAGCGGCAGAGAGGACAATGCTGCTGAAGAGGCCATGGAAATCTTAAAGTGCACTGTATCGAACAGTCCACGTTGCAAAACAGAGACACAGAGCTCCAGCTTTTACTGTGATGCTGAATGTCAGAATGGATCCTGAGCTTAAAAGCTTTTTAAAGCACTCACATCTGAGAAATAAAAACAGCATTATATGCCAGAGTGTAGAGAAAACTTTAATGGACATGAATGGAATAAGTAAGCAGATAAACACATGGATGAGGTAGAGGACAAAAAAGGGTCAATTTGCCGCAGGCAAGATAAACAAACCCTGCCATTATAATAGTCCAAAGCACCTCTACCAAATCAAGCAGTACACCTCAAAATCTAAGTGAACCAAGCCAGTCCTTTTCACAAACCCTGCAGTCTCCAGGGAACTTTTTTTTTTTTTTTTTAAAACAGACCTTTCTCTCGGATAACAATTCTGTCTAATTCACAAGAACCCTCCTGGACAGAAAAGGTTAACCCCAAAAAACAAAGATGCCAACCCACTGGGCAGCCCAAAAGCAACTAGAGGTTTCAAAGCACACTGTTGATGCCAATGTAACAGATGCAGGAAAGACCCAATAAAAAAATTGTACAACAAGATGGTCAATAAGTGCATCATACAGATATGAAGGTAGCTTTGGATGACAGTACCTTATATGTTTTTAAGATCATGCAGTTCTCAATGTATTCTTTCTCAGTGGAGTACTTGTATGTCTCGTTGACAGGTTTCTGGCTATAGATTCAAATGAACTCGAACTAGATATTAAAGTTGTGTCACACATTGTCATGAAGTGTGACAAGCTAAATTATCTAAATGAGCTAAATGAGCTAAATGATCCTGTGACAACAAACAACAGCAGCGTGGTGCTGGTAGAGAGTTTAATATTAGACACAGCAATAGCAATTTCACTAATCAGTGTTTTTCCACAAATAATATGCAATATATATCTTTTAGGATTAGTGTAGTAGATGCGCTCAGTATTAGCCAAAACTTAAGTTTAGGTACAGGAATTGGTGTGTGTGAAGAAAAATTGCATCAGAACATCAGAACATCAAATCATTAAATATCTTAAGTCAAGACAGTTGGAAATGGACTCAACGTTTGTCTTGATTGCCCATTTCGAAATTCAGTTTCTGAAGAGAGTACCCATGTTTGAATGAGTGGCACTGAATTGGATCAAAGTTTAACTTTTTTCAAGTAGGATATGCCATTTAAGTCAGTGGTTGCTGAAATCAGACTCAGAATCAGAAATACTTTATTAATCCCAGGGGGAAATTTGTTTGCTACAGTTGCTCATAACACCAAAAATCAGAGCTTGAGACTATGTGATTAACAACCTTCAACAGTCCAATAAAACACAACACAAAGAGAATGGTTCAATTTCAAAGAAACATTAGCAACATTAAGAAACGAAGGACCTGCTTCTAATACCAAATACAAAAGTATCATTGCTAATGATGGAGGTACTCATCACTTTTTAATAGCCTTGTTCAGACTGCCGTATAAAGGCAAGATATTTACATCCCTGTGACATTTTGCCTCCAACTAGATTATTTCCAAGCCCTATAAACAACTACTTTGTATGGATTTGTTCTTTATACCAAGATAGATAGGTGGTCACATGATAAAGGTCACAATGTTCCAATACTGTCAGGTCAGCTTTCTGTCTCCAAGCGCCTCATGGTATAGGACCTACCCCATGACTCCTATTAAAAGACAAAACTGGAGATGCAGGCCACAAGGGTTTTAGCACCGTCATGCAGGTACATTACAGAGTTTAAGACCTACCGTGAACGTATAGACCATCTGCTGCTCCCGGTCCACAGGTTTGAGGAGCCTCAAGTAGCGGATTATCCCGGTCGGGGTCAGGCCAAAGATCGCGGTGTAGTCATCCATGGTAACCTTCGCCATGGGGTCTTTCGTCTTCCAGCAGAAACATGCACAAAAAGAGACATGTTACCATGGCGACGTGTATGTTTTATCTGCTCTTTTGAAGCAGCAGCTGTGAGGCCAAGAAAACCCATCAGACAGTACATTTTGATCCGTCAAAGAGTTGAAAAAGTAATCTGCTGGCAGGTCCCTCGTGTGTCTTGGAAAACAATGGAGAAAGAAGTGAGGATGGAACAAAAAAATAAACAATTTCTTTTTATTAACTTGATGCTATCAATAAAGATATAAAAAGAGGAAATTACATCTGCAACAAGAATTGTACAACAATTATTTCCTCTGTTCCATTAAAAGGGTATTATCGACTACATAAAGCAGTCGTTAAAAAATATGGGTTTTCAGCTTCTTGTGTTGACTGTCAACATGCTACATGAGCTGGAAGAGCCATTTAACAGAGATGTGTCACCACTGCTGTGGAGGGACTGTGTTAACAAATAAACCTGAAGTCAATTGTGGTCCACTGCTGCGAGTCGGCTTCGATTCACGTCCATCAATGAGTCCTTTTAAGAGAGTTTGGTAAACATTAAGACTGGGTGGCTTATTGATTCTGTTATCTCGGTTTCCACTCCTCTTTGATTTGTTAATTCTTCTCCAAAGACTGAGTAAAGGGATATTTTCCAAGATGGACTAAAAGGAAGTAGTCATTTGTTCTGGCTGTGTGTGTGTGACAGTGTGCGTTCAATCATGAAAGTACAAATCTATCAGTGCAGTGAGGGTATGAAAGGGTATAAAGCATTCTCCAGGGTTGTTCAGTCTAACACACAAAAAAACACGCACCAATAATATCAGACGGCTTATTAAAACACAACAACCTTTCATTCAACTGCAAACAAGCCGATTCATAAAATGCATTCTTTTGACAGAGCAAAGTTGGCGTTCAAAGAGAATCATTGCAGAGTTTGACGTAAGCATCTGCAGACACCAGGTCAAGAACGTTCATTTCAAGTCGAAGAAAAACAACACAGCACAGCAACCCACTCCAAGCGCACACTCCCATTAGGACAAAACCACAGGGTCAACTAGAGTTATACACACCCGTCATTACTGGAGATCTGCTCAGTATTTAATTCACTATAAATACATTTTTCAATTCATATGAAATGTGTGATTTCACTGGAAAGCTTATATAAATGTTCTTTCTACATAATAGAGTCACAGAGTTTATAATTGTATGTTGAGCATGTCTCCAGCAGTGATGAGTGCTCTCAGTTTGTTTTTTTCCTTTTTGCAATGTGATTAAATAACAGAAGGGATGTCCTGAGTCACTTTGAAGGACGGGGATCAAGCTAATTAATGCTTTTATAATGAATCAACCTTGGCTACCCAACGCTTGTCCAATTCTGATCCTTTGTTCATAGTTACTTACTTTAACTTTTTAAGCAGAAACATTTTAAATTGTACAAAATACTAAACATTTAGCAAAGCAGTTAAATCAACAGTGGGGGTAAGTGTATATTGGAAAATTCGGTATGAATATTGAAGGCTGAAATCTATCACCAGAAATTGCTGAAAAATGCAGAAATATGAAACAAATGGTTTGAAAAACCTGAATGTATTGACTGAAGATGAAATGAATTTAGAGCTGAACTAGCAACCAAACAAGAGCTGAGAGCAGACAAAGATTGGTCGTAAAAACTGGAAGCTAAACTCTAATATTGCCAATGCTTTGAGTACACATGGCAAATATGACACCAAACACCAGCTTCAGTTTAACTTTAGTAACATTGTGCTGTACAGAGAACGAAGTGAGTTCATTTCAGGAACATTAAACAACTAACAAACGTGTTTCACCTACAACTTTTCTGGATCAGCAGCTCCAAACTCTTTCCAAATATATTTTCCACAACACTGCTGGACAAAATATTGTAAGAAAACCAATTAAAGCGGTGATGCAGAGCTTTTAAGCGGTCCAATCCCTTAATTGAATTGGCTTCACAGAAATAAAAGTAGGCCTATTTAAAGCAATTAAAAGTGCTAACCAGAGGTGTAGCGGATCATTGTTGATCTGTGATCTGTATGAATCCCCACAGTTTGGCAATGAGCGATGGATTAAAAGTTTAACACTATTGTGTGCAATACAGCTTTACTGCTGCCGACTCCAAATAAAGTGTTGCAGAGATAAAAGACAAGACAGAGTGTTGTGTGTTTGACTCTTAAGTGCAAAGATTAAAAGAACTGATATTTTCTTTTTCGGTTCAGTGTGATGCATAAAACATTCCCGCATGGATGCACAGAGAGAAACTACTTAGGAGTTTGGAAAGAAGAAAGTTTGCAGAGGCTGATGAAACACTTTGGGGGAAAGTTAGTTTTGGGTTAGATATACTTAGACGACTTCTGTATGTCAATTATCCAACCTAATATTTGCATTGTAAAACCGGCACATGAGCACCATGGAGCCATTCTACAAATGTAATAATAGTCTGAATTTATTTTAATAAATACATGTTTTTACCAAGAAACATGTGGCTTTTAACACAGAAATAGGCTACAAAGTGTTGATTTTTTGCTGTTCATTGGGGTCTTTGTTTAAATAGGGCTTCCACTGTTCCCCTGTCACTGTCATAGTGCTAGCTTATATTTAGCTAGAACCAGCTGATTTGTGTTTCTGATAATCTATTATGTAAGGTTTGTAACTTTATCCAAAAGCATATCCAATATTTCACAAATTCAGTTTCAGAGCACAATACTGAGTAAAAAAAAAAACTGAAGATAGAATCCTGGAACAAAGCTTGTTGTTGTAGTTTAGCCTGTAACTAGCACAACACATGCTCTGCTAGTGTAGCCAGAACAAAGAAACACACATATCTGTTATCCGAAACAGGCATCATACATACTGTAACTAGTTCAATGAAGTAAAAAACTGAAAAAAAATGTGTTACAGCTAATTTGTCAGGGGATACAGAATGATTTATGTTTTCTGTTTGAAATGCTGGAAATAAGTGGCTCAAACAGATACGTTATTTTTTTTTTCTTCGAAGATGTAGCTCTTTTCATTAATGACTGTCGCCGTCTGATATATTGGAGCACTATTTAAATAAAGCAGAGGTTGAAATTAAACTGACTGCTTGCTTATTAGATCAAAATGTAGCCATGTTCAGTTATGTAGAAAACCTTGGCCGTGATACATTGGGATGCATGGAGGAAAAAAAACACGTATTTATTTATTTGTTTTTCCGACCCTTGACTCAAACTGTGTGACGATCTGAATTCCAATTTTTGTGATCCACTGCACCCCTAGCACTCAGCATCACTTTATTCTGCAGGAATACAATACTGGATTAACCTGTGTATTAGAAGATCCTCGATAAACCAGCAGAGCTTAGTAGCAAAGAACTTGATCAGGACATCCCTACATCAGAGTGTGTGTGTGTGTGTGTGTGTTAATGTATGTATAAGCATTCAAAATCCACCCCTTTACCTACAGGTGTATCGCCAGGATCCAGCTACAACAAGGACACAATTACAGCAGGGAAAATGACTCATGATGTTTTTGTGGACACACAACACAAACATATAAATAAATGTGGGTATTAATCAATATTCACTCAATGCACTCAAGCGCCTTGTGTCTGTATGCAGACATGCATGAGCGGGGGGTGAGGACAGTGAGTGTAGTCTGATTTAGGCCCCTTTCTTTGTACCTCCTCGATGTCGTTATCCAAAGCAATGATTCCCAGGGGAGCAGTGAGGTTAGCACTGGCTGAGATAGTCGTGCCGACAGGGGAGGACTCGCTCACATAGCCCTGATAGGTGGCAAACTGGAAATATGGCGCCTGGTTGTTCTCATCCAGGATTTCGATAATGAGGTCAGCGAAGGCAGGGAGTGGATGACCGTTGTCCTGTTCAGCCTGGAGAGTAAAAAAAAAAAAAAAAAAAGAGACAAGAAGTTTTAGTCAATGAGTCAAAAAATCAACAAGCCTCCTTAAAACTACAAAAACTGAAATATGAAACTACAAAAAGAAGTCTTCTGGAAATGAAGGATCATTTAGATAATGAGAGAACCACACTTCCCAACTCTTTTACAGGCGCATGGACAGAAAGACTTCATTTCTCATAGCGTCATTTCAATGATAAGAAAGTGCTAAATTGACAAAATTTAATCAGGGGTCCATTTAGGATTAGGCCTCTGTAATTACCAGAGCACTTAACGCAAATACCGTCATTTATAAGGGAGAGGCAGTAATTAGTGGCTCCTACTACTCTGTGTAGTGAGTGACTGCCGATAAAGGGAGGCTCATTTTCCAGTTAACTAAGCCAGTGCTAGAATTAACCAATTAACTAGTAATTGAGCCCTGGTCTGCATTGCTCATTCTGCAGACTAATTAATCTGCACGGTGTGGTTTTTCTATACATTTCTCCTGTTTGGCCTGAAAACTGGAATGAAACAGGAAACAGTCTGATTTTATAAAACCCCAATGACAAACTCTGCATCTCAGTAACATTTATATTACTTTTCCAGCTTGCAGAATGTCAGCCACAGAACTCAACACACTTGACTTGTTGAATAGGAAATGGACTTGAGCTTGTCTAGTTTTCTGACTACTCAAAGCGCTTTTACACCGCATGTCACACCTACCCATTCACACCCATTCACACACTGATGGCAGAGGCTGCTATGTAAAGTGACCATCAGAAGTAAGTAATCCCATTCATACACATTCATATGCCACAATAGCAGCGGGAGCAACTTGGAGTGAAGTGTCTTGCCCAAGGACACATCGGACATGTGGCTGCAGGAGCTGGGGATTGAACCCCCTGACATTCCAGTTAAGAGACAAACGACTCTACCAACTGAGCCACAGCCGCCCAATCACAGAATAAAATAAATGGTTTGTGTCTGTAGATGAAGAAGTATTGACAAATCATATTCCCGCTAGCTTTGCTTGTATGCGGGAAAAACATCTGAGTGCAGAGCTGCAGAGGAAGAGCATCACCTATCACCTATCATCAAATGATAATTTAGCTTTTCTATTGGTCTCACATTCTGTTTAAGAGTGCAGGAAACAATCTAGTCGTAGGCGTCGTCTCTGGACACCAATTTTCATATTGCATCTAAATTTGCCGGACCGCGCTGTATATTTACAGAGTTCAAGATATCAGAGCCGAGACTTCCTCCTTGTTCTGCTGCTGATTGTAAACAGTAGCAGTATCAACAGAAGAGGCTCATGAGATATTCGCCGGCGGCCAGAATTAAGCCAATATGTTCAAGGCTGCAGAAAAAGAACATGCACTTCAAACGGATCATAGTGAAAGGTAGAACAAAGCTCATTCCACCCACCCGTGTTAACTAACCAGCATCAAATATCAGATGGTGTTTATTTATTACACAGTGCATCAAACGGTATCACACAATAATGAGTAGGAAACATTTCCTTCCCAAATATTCTTCCAGCACAGCTGGGCGATGAGACGTGTGTTCAAGAAGTGTTCAAGAAACATGCAAAAACTTAAGAACACGGTCAGCTAATCACGGTTAAATTTGACGCAGACTCTGTGAGACCATACTGTATATAATAAATTGGCTCTGATCAAGCTATCACCGCAATCTTTTCCCTGATAATGACATACACCACTAATGGCTCACACACAGGGATCTTTATGAAACATTACAGATTTACATTTAGAGGGCGAGGCGTCATCAGTTTAAGCCATGATCTGAACTAATACTTTACACTGCGTCAACTTCACAGGGTTTGTGTTTGTGATAAAAAAAATGAAACCGTACTTCTAGATGCTATCGTGCAAGGGGCCAAAATAACGCTGTAATCTCGTTTTATATTATATTATTATATTGTGCAATTGTTGGCCCTTTTGGAGACACATCCAGCTGAACGATTTATATCTGTTTTATTGTCATCCACACCATGTTATACCAGCTACAATCTTTCCCAAACATCTTCTATCTTTTTACCTTTATTGGAGCGATAATAAAAGAGCACCCACACTGCTCTGACCCAATGATCCAATCTGCCCACAGTAACACCGAGGGAATGCTGCTGTCATTGACAAAGAGTGTGCGTGCCAGGATGTTCTCTCCTTTTTCTCGACATTCCACGCGCTCATTTTTGTGCGAGAGGTGGAGAAAAGACGGGGTGTTGGATTGCAGAGTTCCCTGGTGATTTAGCTCTTTAGCGGTGTCCCTGTTCTCTAGGAGGCAGTGCTAAATGACCTGCTCTACAAAGCTACAGCACACATAGCCTGCTGGAGAGGCACTGCTAGCAAAAGTCAGTGTTTATCACTCAGTCTTCATTCTCCTGTCCTGACTCCATCATCATTATAATGCTATCCTCTACCTCCATGCTGCCCCCTTTTTTTTCTCTTTAATCAGACTTTTTCTCTCCATCAAATCCACCCTTGTCACTTGTCTTCATTTCATCACTGTCTTCTTCTTGGATATGTCTCCATCAGGCTCAGTCATTACTTTTGAACAAGAGCAGATGTGTTTTCTAAAATATGCTCATGCTACACCACTCTCGAAATACCAAAGTCTAATTCTCACTTTACAGCCCCTCTGAGTCCTTCAGCAATGGTTCCTCTCCCTCTTGATGATTCAGGTAGATAAGGCCTCTGCCATATTTCTCTATCCATCTCGGTATTTCCTGCTCCCTCTTTGAACTGCCTTCCTTCCTCCAGCTATGCACCGTCCTCCCGCAGAAATGCAAAATGCCTCTCATCTGATCAATCTCTCCTCGCCTCCTTCCTCTGGTGGATATCAGCCCTTCCTCTCATCTCTCTGCTCTGTAGCCGTCCTGGTAAAGAGAACGTTACGCAGCACTCAAAAGGTGTCTGGAGGTTAGTAATGGGTGGATGGAGAGTTCATCTGCACTGCCGCTCTGCACCAGCAGCAGCACAGAGGTAATCCCTGCCTCTGCTGTAAATTGGGATTCACAAGAGCGCAGCGGCCTATCACCCTGCTAAGTCCATAAATCATAACATCTTTTTCAACCCCGTCTCCGAAGCAGCCGAAGATAAGGTTAATGGCCTCAAGGACTGAGGTTATCTACGTGGAGTAGTTAAGGTTGCATGCCTAAGTTCCTAAAATTTGAGTTAAACTTTATTTGGCACAAGAATTTAAAAATATGAGTGCAGAATTGAGATGTTTAATTAAAATGAAGTGCAGAGGTTGCAGGAAAAATCAAAATTATACTGTGCGAAAAATTCCTGATTTAGACAATCAAGCTTTATTAGCAAGTTTAGTTAAATTTAGTTTAGTTTAATCATTTATTTGAAACAGGGACAGTGTACAAAAAAAAACAAAAAACATTAGTCTCAGAAAAGAAGAGATGCTTTGTACCAGATTTAGCTAGCTAGCTAATTTCCATCTGTTGTCCCTGGGCAGATGATGGCAACAGCAAAATACAAATCAACCAGTCACACACACACACACACACACACACACGCACATTTCATAAGAGAGAAGAAAGACGTAGAACAATTTACAGATATTAAAAACATTATGTACAAGTTTCCCTGAGAGAAGTAGAAGTAAAGTAATGCAATAAGTAAAGGAATGTAAGTAAATAATGTTTTAAACACATTTTGGCTCATGGGTTGTTATCACTTTTCCATGACTAAAAACAAAGTAGGATGACCATACTTTTGGTGATTCCAGTGTACAAATTAGAAATATATATATTATGAATTATCTACTAATACTGCCAACTAGATATGCCAAATATAAGAATTGGTAGTTAGTAAAAATATCCTTGCTGACAGTTGGCCTTTATCTTTATTTTTTATTTCTATTACTAATTAATTTTATTAATACTCATACGCATGTTCTTCTTGTTGTCTTTTACTGCTGCAGTACTTGAATTTCCCCACTGGGGATCAATAAAGGATTATCTTATCTTATCTCTTATCATAATTCTCTGCAATGTTTGATAAAGTTTAAAAAAAAAAAGTTTTCATACATGATTACGAGATGAAGCCAAAAGGTACTTAACACATTGTAGTCACGCTAAAGCAGAGGTCAGCTAAAGTCTTACTGCTCTTTCAGTTCACATATCGTGTACTCATGACAGGTACAGAAAAACACAATCCTCTCAACGTTTCTGCATAATCTACAAACCGCTTATTCTTTACCATACTGTGATGTATATTATTATCCATGTACTGTGAGTGACTCAGGGCCGACTTTACAACAAGCAAGCTAATGAAGCATAGAAGTTCTAGACAACTGAGAGTGCAAAGGCCAAATGCCAGAGGTGAGTCGCTTGTCTGTGCCAATATTTCATTAAATAAAAAGATACACAGGTCAGGTTTAACAACACGCTCTGACAACCACCTTGAAATATTCATGAAACTTTTGCAAAACTCCACTGCTAAAACACAGTTACCACGAGTAGGATGAAAATAGCACTGGAGCTGTTGGTGTACGACTGAATTAGTGAGAAATGTTTAATTGAATTTGCTTGTTTACCTTGATGATGAGTGTGAACCTTTGATAAAGGTCCCTACTGACTGGTTGCAGAACACGCAGCTCTGCAGTGCTTCTGTTCAGGGAGAAATACTGGGCATGGGCAGCTGGATGACCTGCAATAAAAAAATATATATATATTCAGAGTTTTGTGCATTTTACGCCGCTGTGGAGAAAAGCAGAATGAACATTTAGAAGTCAAGTCATGGTATGCTGACCGAACTGAAGACCATCAAACTGAACAAAATCAATGAAGAAATGTGATGAACCTACCAACCAGGACGTAGTAAAGGATGCCTGGTCTGTTTGATGGGGGTTGTATGTTTTTGTCCATGTCCACTGCGCGGATCGGCGGGATCACATTCAGTGGGTTTAGTTTGCTCTGCAACAGGGGGTGGAAGGGTCAGCAAACAACACAGTGAGACAATCACATGCAAATCCTCTTTTTTTCACTTGACTCTGTAGGTCTAGCCTTTAGATGCACAAATATAGTTCTCTTGAACAAAAAACCTGGCACAAACATGAATCAAAGTGTCTTGTGAGACAGAAAAAAACAGAGACATAATATCTGTCATGTTAAACATATTTTGTGTGCTGTTTTTTGAATATCTGGACACAGTAAAACCCTATAATGCTCCAAAGTCTGCTCCTACAGATGCGATTTTCTCTGTAGAAAATCTGCCCAGGACTCTCTTCTCTTCCTATTAAAACTGTTTTCTGCTTTACAAGTGGATGAGAGGGGCAGCTGTGATCGACCGTTCTTGAAGCTTGCCCCGGCTCCACCTGCTGCTACTGTAGTCCTCTTAATAATGTTGCCGCCACTGTCTTTTCTACACGCTGTGATGTGCGCTGGGTTACGATTGCAGCGGTGCCTCTGTTTGCCAAGGCTGCAACCCACACTGAATATTAGGCTTGAAAAATAAAAATAAAATGGTTTAACCATTTCAAAAAACGTAATTCCTGGTGTAGGCCAGTAATCAATAACACACTGATACATTCAAAGAGTACTTAATTAATAGGCCACCTTTTCCTCATTGGCATTTTTCTTAATGTGCCAGACAGAGTTTCACATCAATCTGTTTGTGTAGCTGTGGGCTACTTTTCCTGCTCATGCATACACAGACACCATCAGCGCTAATTACACAGCTCTGCTCCTACACTCTCTCTCCAACATATGGCTAAGTGGGAATATGTTTAGCACATCACATTTATGAACACCTCTCCTCATGCAAAGTGCCTCCATATGGCTCATACAGTACGTGTGAATATGCTAAGAAGCCTGTGCTAAACTTCCTTAGCGCAGACAGGCACATGGCTAACAGCGCTCTGGCAGGAAGAATCCTTCCCTGAGGGGGTATATTTATATCCCTCAGCTCTGGAGTAATCCTTACACCCCTCCCTAACCAGCCCTCTTGCTTTTACAGTGTCTGGAGGTGCGCTAAATCAAATCCCCCTAGCTCTGCACAATGATGATTAGCTATAATACCCTCCTCCAGCAGTCATTATCCAGGGGACTCCAGAGCCCATGTTATATCCCCCGCAGGGCAAAAAAATAAATACAGATCAACTTAATAATGCCTGTCTAGCCATTGTGGTTAATTACAATACACTCATCAATTACTGTATGAGAAGACAAATCTCCCTGTGGAAAGATATGTTCGCATAATGGTTACACTGCAGAATTGGAGGACTGGCAAAAAAAGACAAAAATTGGCAAAGCTTATGTAGACCATTCCTAAAGAAATGTTTTGATTTTAAATGTACACTGTTTAAGGATTTACAAGATTAGCACAATTGAAGGTAAATGTTAAGAAACTGAAATTATACACTGACAATTTTGAATTGTACATATCTGCATAAGACAGAGCTGAAGATAGATTTTGTTTGCAGCGCTCTTTATTGTTGCGCGCTATATGTGTCTGCACCGCCCTCCTTCAGACCTGCAGCTCACACTTTCACCGCACAGACAGACCGTTCAAATTCACATCTCCGCAAATACCAAAGTCTTTAAAATCCTTTTAGCGTGTAATTAAGATGCATAACTTAGGTTAAGTGTCTGTTAAAGACACACAAAGAACACAAGACAAAGACAGCCGGATCACTACCTTCTCATTTAGCCGCGACCTGCAGAGTGTTTGCAGTGAGCTCTACAGCACCGCACAATGATTGACACACAGAAATTTCCCGAACACAACAACATGATGAGAAAACCCAAAAATACAGACAGAGGCCAGAGACTGTGCAGACACAGACACCATCACACACTTACACCGTATTATTATTGATAAGTGAGAGAGAGTATTTTAAAATAGGTGAATTCGCATAAGTCTGTTCCTTTTTCTGCACCTGCATTGTGTGCAGGTTGATATTTAAGAGCAAGACAGTTCACAATTTTTGGTGACTGGGGCTTATATTTTTGTTGCCATGGTAATGACAGTGTTTTATTTTGTTATATTAAATCTTAAAACTCTAAAATTGTGAAAACCACATGTCCTAATATTTTGGAAACTTGGACTTGAACCATTTGGACTCAATAACACAGCAAGCTGTATTCTCAGCTCCACTTTTAAATGTTTCAGTACGTCATGTCGAGTATTGCAAAGTATCACAATACGTATTGTACTGTGACACATGTATCATGATATGCATCGTATCCTTTGCTCCCTGACACTACCCACCCATCACGATTAAATTGTACGCACATGGTCCAAGTAAATGTAACATCACTTTCAAACTTTTGGAGCGAAACCATACAGCGTTTAGAGGGGGCAGGGTCATGGGCAACATTTTCTCACACTCATGCAAAAACTTTGCTTTGTGCAGCTGGTGCTGCCAGGTCCTGCATACTTAGCGGTCCGCAAACCTTTTATCATAAATTATATATGTCATGCGAAAACTCTATCAATGGACAAACAACTGTGACTGACTTTTGCTGCTCCCCATTAAAAAAAACATATACAAGGACACAGCCTTATGTTATAGCTTTTTACATTTTTGTACCAATCTTTATGGTCTTTATTGCAGCCGTATGTGTTATTAAACCTCTTTTTCTTAGACCAGCTTAAATATGCTCCAATGTTCAAAATCATATAAATTCAGCACATTTGATTCATATAGGATGGACTTCTGCTACTTGTATTTTCCTGTGTATCTGATCATTTCTCCATGCATGACTCCACACTAATGGAATTATAAGCTAACATGCAAAAATGACCCTGACACAAGAGGTGAAAGTGAAGTGTGAAAATGACTAAACTAGGTCTAACATAAGAAAGCTTTCAACTTAAGATTGAAACCTTGTTTCAGTGTAGACATCTATGGTTCAAATGCAACTTATGGTGCTGCATGATGTCTGTCTGATTAAGTAAATAAGTCTGAAGCCTCAATACAGCACAGAATAGACCATAAGGTGGAATGGATTTGTCTTCTAGTTCATTCTATCCTTATCTAGTTCAATCAAAAGATTGTTAGCACACTGCTCCCTTCACTTCACTTCATTCCAATGATCTGGGAATGCAAAGAAATACACAGTAGATACAGATTTCCTGAGACACAGATAAACAGTTTATAGATATCGTTTAATTTCCATTACTGGATATTTTGTACTCTTCACCTCTGAATTTTTATCACAGCTGCCACACCATGTTCCTCTCTATTTTTCTATTCTTCTATAAACTCCAGCAGTGTTTATCTGTCATCCCAGGTCAACTCAGCCTTCAGCTCTAATTGCTGGTCCAATAGACCAGAAAAAGCCTCTGGAAATACCACACTGAGAAAAAACAACACAGCTTAGTGTGCCTCCAGGTGTGAAGACTAAGACTAGAAGTAAAGGGACTATAAGGCTTATTATCAGGTTTGATATATTTGAACAATAAACAGGTATGTACCCATGAAGCGTAAATGTGTCAAAACTGTGAATTATATGGTACAATGCACATACAAACAGATGAAGACAGATAAAAGCACAACTGGCATGCAGGGAAATACAATTATGCACATATGATTAAGAGGAGGAACTGTGTCAGAGTGACCTTGAGGAACAGTGGTGTGTTCACACCTGCCTGTCCGACTGGCTCTTACCGGTTCAGTGAATTCAGGGATGGCGACTCGGTAGGTGATGGGGTTGCAGTCCCGGGTGTTGTTCACAAGAACACAAGGCAGGAACATGGGTCCCAAGTTGTCTCCATCAAGAACATCCACGGTCAGAGTCGTGGTAGCCGTGCGTCTGTTGGGAGGGTACGGGGCGCGGTCCTTGAAGATGGGGAAGCAAATGTTTTCAATTTCAACCTTTAAATCCTTGGGAGTATTTGTTGCTTTGTACAATGGGGCTACATGCTGCTTGGGCCAGACATCATTAAACATTTTAAAAACAGATATCTGCAATTGTTCTTAACCATATATAACAATAGGGGCTGCTATGAGAGCGCCACAGTCATAAATAAATCTGTTTTTAATTTCCTGGTTGGATGTATGGTTGTGGGGGGGGGAGGGTGCATGAGGAAGTATGCACACTACCTACAAAAGGAAATGCAACTGTGTTGGAAAATAAAATGGTAGGGTTAGTTTTGCCACCCCAGGCTAAGCTGTAAAAACTCCTCTAGTGAGACTTACTCTTTTTATGCTAGCAGAACATTGAAATACCATCTTTTAGCACACTGCATCAATACCGAGAAAGTAGTTTAAATGTGCTTTGACAACACGCCTTAATGCCGATAAAAACATTTATTGTCTTGATGCATTTAGTCAAAATTTGTCCACATCATGGAAATATAAAATGCCTGTGCACCAATGGTTTGATTGTGTATCACAAATTAAAGTTGTTAAAATGAAAGGCTTTCTGTTAGATTAGTTTGGGTGTGTTTGGAAGGTAGAAAAATCTCTTGCTTGGCCGTGTGTTTGAATGGAATAGGAAAAACAGCACATTCAACATCATCATCAGATCACTTTAAACCACACAGAACAGCGCTACTCCTTTTGAACATTTTTCTTCTTTACAAAATTATTCTTGGCAGCAAAACATATCTTTACAGCAGTTATCCTTAAAGATCCCCCCTCATGGCACGGCTGCTTCCCAGAGTGTTACCCAGAGAAGTGAGCAGCACAGCACTTCAAAGATTTGCGTTGTCAGTGTAATTGAACTCTTGACACAAGCGGTGCAGAGTTCTAGTAAATACCACGTCTTCTTTCTTTCTCCTTGCAACAGGAGTCTGACGTTCCCGTTGCAAAAGAAAATGAAATCTCCCTGGAGGACCTCTTGCCTGACTAAAATGTCGAGTGTGTTGCTCCCTCATGCAGGAAATGGAGAGAATAGAGGTGGGATGACTGCACAATCATTCCATCCAGCAGTTCTTTACCTTTTTTACTTTCTAGTATAGAGTGTTATATTTTGACTCTGCTTGGCCGGGTTAACGATTATGTAACCAGTGATCATAATGGTAGGAATCATGTAAGCGGTTGCTGTACATTTGTGTACAGATGATCTTTATGTAAGGTATTATGTAATTTAGAGTGCGTAGGTATAATGTATAGTGAGCAGATTGTTCAAGCTAAATGGAACTCCACAGGGGTCGGCATGAGCCTGACGTGTAGAGGAGGTGTGTTAATTTGATATATTTCGACGCCAAAAATATCTACAGCTACAGTTCCATCCATAGCAAAAGTTAACTCTGCAGCCTTCTTAAAATGAGCCAAGCTAGCTGTACTTACTCACATTAAACTAAACTTTTCTACATAACTTTCTACTAAACTGATTACATGGCTACCTACCATATGAATTCACAAATAAGACAAAAAATGTTGACCTTGATGTAAGCACAATTTTGTTAATGCCATTTCAAAAATTAGTCCCATAGTCTCTACAGTTGGAAAGGTTTCCGTAGCAAGGAGAGACTCTTGAGTCTTCTAGATTTTCACCCTTATAACTTACATGGAACTTAACATTTCAAAAGTGAGACAAGGTGCACAAGTCAATGCAACAGCTGTTCGGGTTTCGACCTAGTCACTGTAGTCACTTTATTTCCTCCTTAGATACTCTTGTATCTAACACTGTGTTCCACTTAAACGATGATTTCTTCAGTTGTGTGGATTTCTATTTCATTGCCTGAAGCTATTGTTTCATTAAAACATCACTTCTTCATAGTTTTAACTATTTTTTCTCTCTACTGTAAAGTGACTAAGGTCAAATAAACTGGACTGCTTTTTGCAGATTGTTATCATTATTTACCCTTTCAGATTCTGTGTTCAGAGCTGCATCCCTAGCAGCACTCAATTCTTTGAAGCAGCTATCTGATTTACAGCAATAGCAACATTAGAAAGCTGTAATTGACCAATAAGAATGGAGTTCTCACAGCTCTGTATTAAACAGAGACATTCTTAATACATAAAGAACAGTTTTGGAACGGTTTTTTTCCAACTGAATTCATACTCTTGGCTTGTGGCTTCAGTTCCACTTAGGTCGACAGACATTAGCTTTCTAATGGCCAAGGCTAAGGGACAAACACATAATAGAAAAATGGCTTCATTATGATTCAAACTTGAATCATTAGAATAACCTGTTTTAAAATGTTTTCTCAGTCATGTTGCCCAAACAGAGTGTGAAGAAAAAAAAATGCTCTCCCTTAAGTATAATACATAATTAAAATTGCTCTGATATGCAAAACTGCAGTGGTACATTCAAACTACAAACAGTTATCTCAGAGAGCCTTCAAGACAGCTTCAATCACTTATATTAAAAGGGAAAAAAAAACAAGAAGTACCAAAACCCTGGAGGGAATATTACCCTGAATCCACTCAGCATAATATTGCTGACCATGAGCAATCTCTGAAGTAGTATTAGTTAAATATGAGTGAAACAACTTGTTTTTCTGATGTCCTTATGCCAGCTGAGGAATGTTTAATTACTTATTAAACATCCCTCTTATCATCTATTAAACACAAATGAATGGTTTCCTAAATCATGACCACATTTCTTCAAAAAGAAAACACAGCAGACCTTGCATTTAAACTTAAGAGAAGTGATGCAGTGTAAGGGATTAAACCCATCAAGCAGCTGACTACTGACTTGGTATTCAAATCATTGAAAACATCTGAAAGATACAAAAAATAGTGGAGACGCCGGTCCTTGAGTGCTTGAAATTCCACTCTCCAAATTGTGAATGCAGCTGCTGCCTCTAAACACAAAACAGATCTTGATATATCTGTTTGCTGGCATTAAGAGTTCTTTCCCCCACAAGGTGAACACTGAGGTAAACAACTTCAAATTAATACAAAAAAGGTCCTAGCCTACTTAAAATCTGTTGGTGTTTGAGTACTTTCAGGTCCCAACACTTTCAGCCAATGGTGATTGTGCCTCTTCAATCAATCAATCAATCAATCAATCAATCAATCAATCAATCAATCAATCAACCAACCAACCAATCAATTTTTATTTGCACAGTGCTAATTAATAACAAATGTTATCTCAAAACACTTTACAAAAAGCAGGTGAAAGACCTTGCTCTTTGTTATATAATATTACCAAAGAGCAGGTAAAAGACCTTTTACCTCTCATTGTTAGGTAAGTAACTTACATAGTACTTGAAGATTTACAGTAATATGGTGTGAATGCACAGAGAGAGAGGGAGAGATAGGTTCTCAAGGTGCCAGTTCCCCCCCGGCAGTCTAAGCCTATAGCAGCATAACTAGGAGCTGGTACATACCTGTGGAACCCTAACTATAAGCTTTATCCAAAAGGAAAGTTCTAAACCTATTCTTAAAAGTATAGAGTGTGTCAGTCTCCCGGACCCTGACTGGTAGATGAATCCAGAGGAGAAGGGCCTGATAACTGAAGGCTCTACCTCCCCATAGTACATTTAGAGATTGTTGGTACCACGAGCAGGCCGGCGTTCTGGGATTGTAATGTTCTTGAAGGGTAATACAGTACTATTAGCTCTTTATGATAAGATGGTGCCTGGCTATTAACAGCTTTGAAATTGGTCCAAGAACTGAACCTTGTGGCACTCCATGGCTAACTTTGGTGTGCAGAGAGGACTTATCTTTAACATGTACAAACCGAGATCGATCTGATAAATAGAAATTTAAAACATCTTAAAGCAGTCTCTATAATTCCAAGTGATTGTTCTTGTCTCTGTAATAGGATGTGATTGTCAATTGCGTCAAGGCAGATTATCTTACTTACATTGGCTTGGACCAAAACCAGGTAGCGAGTTCTCTCCTCATAGTTAAGCCTCTCTGCCAGAATAATGTGTCCTGACAAGGTGTTTGCGACAGCCACTGTTCTGTTAGAATCCTGACAGAGAGAGAGAGTTTATGTTTTAAGACAGAAAGAAAGGAGTCTGTGAGAAATAAGTCAGGATCTTTGGAGAAATTTACAATGGTGTAGAGGGTATTTATCATGGCGTGACTTGTCCATATACCGGGTCATTGGGGTTGTAAAGGATGCCGTATTCAATATGTCCATTGGGTCCGTCGTCAATATCCGTGGCGCCATTATTTCCTGAGAAGCCGGTGAAAATGGTCGTTCCAACTGGTGTGAGCTGGAGAAATATATGAGCACAGGAAAAAGAGAAGTCAACAACTCAAAAAGCCCCTGTGAGTTTAACATCTACTTACAGCTAAGAGCCCATGCATATAGCTATTACTGCTGCCACTTCAGACCATTAGTATACAAAAGAAAAAGAAAAAAGAAAAAAAACGTTTTAAAAAGTGGAAATGTCACAGTCAGCAGCAGTTTGAAGTCTTGCACAATGCTGACTGAAAAACAAAAAGTAAGTATGAGAACCTCTGCTGTTCCCCAGAGCCCACAGCTAAGTCCACAGGACCGAGCGTTGCTTGTTCAGGAGAGAAGTTGACGGTAATGTAGAATGACTCAATATACTGTTGGGGCAGCTGCATACAGTATGCCTATGATAACACTATGTGACAGGAATTTTGAACACGCTATGTAATAGAGACTCAGCAAGGAAATGTTATCTAATCTCAAAAAACAAGGCTGCACAGTCAGAAGAATTGAATTATTTGCAGGTGATGCAGGTTTGTTTTGAAAGGAAAGGGTTGTCCTTTCTGGTACTCACTGGATGTAACTGAAGCAGAACAAGCTGCAACAACAATATCACAATGCTCTACTGGTTTGCCAGCTTGCATGAGTATAAACATTTTCAAAGGGAACAAACTTGAGGAAAACAGCAAATACTTTTTTCTGTTACACATTTCCTCCAAGGGGAGAAGCTTTTAGTGTGTTGTTGTGTTTGTCAGCCACAGAGCAGAACAAGCTTCATGAAATGCAAAGTTCCCAGATAGCATCCAGAAATCAACCTCATTTCAGTCCTCAAGACCATTTTGACAGTTGCATTTTTTCAACTGTCTGGATATAAAGGAAGAGCTGTGTATTGCATTTGACAATTTCAGACTTCATTGACCCACAGTTAGAATCAAAAAGACAGAATGGCATGCCTCTTTGCCTTCCTACAGTGTAACAACACTAATTCTTATCCTCATATACAGAATATTCTGAGAGAAGCTGAAAGAACACAACAATTGTGCACAAGAAGTTCTGATTTAGAAATATTGCAGAACAAAGCCAGGATTTTCCCCTTACCTCATTTACTGCGACATAGTAGCGTGGCTGCTGAAAGCGAGGGGTGTTGTCGTTCCTGTCCCTCACAACAATCCGGACCTCGTGAAAAATGACTGTACCAACCAGCTCGTTGGTGCACTGGACCAGGACAACGATGGTGGTGATTAAGTGTGGGGGCTGAGAGAAAGAAAAAGAGAAAGAAAGAAAGAAACACGTCATTGATGTATGACATTGAAAGTTTATCTTGTTAGATTTCTCTTTTTACCCAATGAACAGTTGCCTGGGTCCTGATAAGGTACTAATAAATCTTTATATTTCTCCCAACTATATTCTGCATTCAAAGAAAATATCAATCTACTTGATCAGATATGAAAAAGAGAGCTCCACATTCCTTTACCCCTTTCTAATACTTCCAGCAGATAAGCTACTAACCAGCAAAGCTAAGACACTACACAAAAGATCTTCAATGCTAAATAGCAGGAGAGAGATTCTGTCAAAAACTTATGTTTACTAGCATCCACAGAACCAATATACTGAACTTGTTTTGTGTTAACCAATATCCTGGCTCTGAATTCATTCAGACCAAAAATTATTCAGAAGCACCCGTAGTTACTACACATTCCTGCATAGCATGCTGTAAACAAACCATGGCTAACATTTAGTTCTTACGTCAACTGTGTGGCCTGATTGGGCTTTTTGAATATTAAATAGAGAGCTCAGAGGGTTGTGCCACGTGGTGTTCAAATGCATATTGGACAACAGAAAGTTGTGTTGTTGCATACAATACGTTAGACGATATCAGAATCTAGAAACACAGAGGATTGCTACGTAGCCTGGCTAGCTTCCCCCTGCCTTATCTCTCTCTTGCTCTCCTTCCCACCTGCAGATGTTTGGTCCCTGTGTTCATTTCTCATTTTAATTGAACATAATTTGTGAAGGATTTCCATTAATAGCGTCACTTCTGTTAGTCCATCTGAACACACGCTCAGAAAACTGTTTATTTCCAACAGAACTCACAACACCCAGTGCGGACCTCCCTGCACCCCATGTGTCACATCCTTTACTGTACCATTTAGACTCATCTGTATTCACTGCAGATTTACTGGAAACACTGAAGAACTGCACTGAAGACATTACACACACACAGACCAGTGCCTGTATCCATCAGTTCACTTGCTATATTAAACACGAGGGATGAATTATCATGCTACAAGCTATAAGACAAACAACCTGCTACTCTTTTATCTCATTAAGCATCAACAACAAGAAACATTTAAATGACGGAACAGAAAGATTATGTTAGAGACTTTCAGCCTGAGAGTAAACTATACGGACTTATTGTACTGAACTGAACTGATTTTGACATGATTGCTATTATCAGTCAAATTGGCAAAATGCTAATTTAGGCTAATCTCACATGACAGGTTTGATTTATTGCCTCCTATTTGTTAAGAATGAGAGGTGTACGACAAAGGGACAGTGTCAAACATAATGACTGATAGACAGAGGAGACGGCCAGTCCATTTGCATGAAAATGAGCATCGTCGTTGTGATCAGGTTTTTGAGTATATGGGTTATGTGTTGTGCATGAAAAACAGCATATCCTGGATTCAGAAACATGCATAACTCCTTATCACTTCCACATGATATCTGGAGTACTCTTAATAGAAGCCATAAATCCATGGCATGCAAACACCATATTCAAATTAATCATTCTCTGTCATGTTAGCATGCAGCATGAAGTTAAGCTATACAGTTTGAAAGAAAAGTAAAACAATGTAAAGGGAAACCTCAGTGTCTAAGGTGGCAAAGCAGATTGTTCAACTTGAGAAATTAAGATTCACAATATGTGGCTTCTCTGATATCTGTTAGAGGATTCAGAAATCATTTATGGATCACATAAGAGCTAAGCTTTATCCCCTTTTACCAGAATGTAATTCCAGATTAAATAAGTCACATGAATTCTTGTATCTATAACTATCTTTGTGTGAATTAAGCATTGAGTCTTTCTTGTGCAAATGACTTTTTATTCATATGTCTGCGTATATATTTTTATTTTCTTTACTGAAAAGTTTTTCATTTTTAATTGTTGCGTGGCTGATCTGCATGTTAAAACATTTAACACAAATTTTTCTCATGTTTGGAATTCATTCAAGTGAGTCGTGAAGCTGTTTTCAGAGGGTCACAAATGTGTGCCTGGATTTTAAAAAAGATTGTGAGGTGCTATGTATATAAACATTTTGGTTTTTTGCAATTTCTTTCATCAAAATGTTTTAATAAATCTGATAGGTTGAAAAATAGCAGAACTTTGGGTTGCAATTTTCATGAAGGAGTTGTTGGTGGGTCTTGAGGCTAGACCAGTTGAGAACCAAAGAGTTAAATCATTCAGTGGGGTTCAAAGATGTTTGGACATGTAATTATGAATTGGTTGAATTTGTAACATGTTTATTAAAGGAAGAACGTGCCAAATTTTACACATAAATATAGCACAAACCAAGTATATCCAATGTAAATGTCTCTCTGAATCATGACTGTCGACAATGAGTGAGAAGGACGAGTCCCACGTGCTGTGTTGTTGTTAGAGCTGTGTTTACATCAGGTTTACATGGACTTCTCTCCTTTTGTACGAAGATGTTTTAGTCAAGGACTAGAGAAAAGAAGAATGTCACTACCACTCACCGCTTATTAAAACGTCATGTAAGCATTTTTAGATCACGGTCATTCTGTGTCAATTTAAATGCAATATGATGCATAAGTTAAATAAAGTGTGCTAACATTAGCCTGCTAACACAACAATGCAGGCCACAGGCAATTGCAGCTCAATCACAAGGACAATTTTATCCGCGCTGCGCTTAATGGTGCTTAATTATGGTGCGTTCCGTTAAATAACTTCTTTGTGCAGACACAAGGGGATGAGGGTTGGAGGAGAGCGGAGACTTCAATATGGTGGAGGTGTCGTCAAACAGCAGTTTGTTTTGGTTTCATACTGGTGCTCAAGGGCGACATCTACTGGATCAAAATGTCGCACATTTTTCCTTTAAAGGGCCAAAATAATGTTCATAAAACTGAAATCAAAAAAGCTAAGCAGCAATATGTAATAATAAGATAATGTGAAAAAGGCTCAGGCACTAAAAAAGGCACATAAAAAAATGCTACTGTAGAAAAACCACGACCCCTTATATAAGAGATGTAAACATTAGCTTTTTTCCTTCCGCATTGATCTGAATGGCCTCTAATTGGTCTCAGAAATTATCATTATGATGACAAGTAACTTAATTCAAAGGGCTGTGATAAAAATACAAGAGCAACAACTGACTCAGCTATGATTAATGTACAAAAGGAAACTGTGTGTTAATGCAACAATTGATTATGGCTATGAGAGCAGAAACCACAGGACTAAAGAGGCCCGTGATAAATCTGTTCATGGTCTACTTTGATGTGTTTCATTGCTTAAAGGCTGTTAACTAATACCCCAAAACACTTGTTTTTTTTTTTTCTCAACATCATCCTTAGTCTTGTACTTACATCTCTGTCCAGAACACGTCCAGTGCTGTTGAGGTAGAGCCTCTGTCGAGATGGTTCCAGTATCACCCAGTAGTCGTAGTTGTCCAGTAACGTCAGTGAGATGGTTCTTCCTGGGTCTTGGGCATGGCCATTTATCTGCATGTTTTCGACCAAAACTGTGCCTGTGAAGACAAACAAGGCCGGATTTATTGATTGCCTTCTTATAAAAGTACATCCTGTGGCTCTTGTTGCTACTGTTAGTTAATAAATCAGGTTTTTAGTAGAAGATATGACACATTTAACGTGTTTCCACAGGCCCTCTGTTACCTGCCAGACAAATAGTTGTATTGCTAAAAATAAAAAAAAAAGACAAGCAAAGGTGCTGGGTGACCAAGTCTATATTATTTCAGACAAAGAGCTGAACACATTCAGAATAAGTTAAAACAAAAGAGCTTAGCTTTAATACTCTTCATCTTGTATGCTCTATTGGTCAACTCCAGCAGAAAAGGGGATTTTTAGTCTTCATTCCTAAACTAACCACTCAACACAAGCATTAAAGACTTTGTAAAAAATCTGTCTCAGATCACTGCAGATCACCCATTCATTATTCCATTATTCCATAATGAATGGGGAAACCTGTAAAATTAATAATTAACACCCTTGAGGTCATTAATGCTTTCCGGTTTGTATTCTACAGCTTTTAATCAGTGACTGATTAAACTTTGCCACAGCAGCGTTCTGGGACAATCCTCCAAAAGCCTTATAAATCTCTGCTTTTCTGACTCCCAAACGCCATGATGAGTGGATCTATGCAAACACTGGTGTTTCAGCAGAAACAATGGTGAGGTATTTCGATTTAGAACAGAGGTGCATAATGAGATACTCATGTGAAGGAGACAGGTAAAGTCTTGATTTCAGTACTGTAAGTGTCCATAAAGCAACAGATTTCCATGACAACAACAGTGAAAAACTCACTACTTATCCAATCACAAAGCCACCAGTGATTGCTTGTAAACAATGTTTTCAACCCAAATTTGAATCAATTCATGGTAGCAAAATGGAGAGTCAAATATATTCATTTTTAAAGGATTGTGACACCCAAGTCTAAATTCATGTAAAGTTGCTTGAAATCTTTTCATTGTTTGAACCTTTCTGCTTTTCAAAGAAGGCCAAGTGCTCCGACAGAGAAGTCACCAAAACAGGCGTTAAATTCACCATTAATTATCAAGCAGAAACGTGTAATACGACTTCTAACTGGAGTCTTCTTTGCCCCATTAGTGAAGCCATATGCTGGTTTGTTTACAGCAACATGAGCATAAATCATTGGTTGAAAATAACTAATTATGAAGAATGACCATGACTATTCAAGAACATAGATCTTTTTAGGAAAATTAATCATAAAACTCTATGGCCTGGCTAAAAAAGAATTCTACGCATCACTAACTGTAATCACAACTGTTTGAAACACATCGTCAAAATGATTACAAATGTATCTGTATCAATTTTGCATCAAACAGGGGAATGCATTTTATTATACGAGGAACATTTGAGAGGCAAAGATCCACAGCTGTATACACTGAACAAAATATAAGAGTGTTGCATTTTTCTGCCTTTTATAACAAGCAGAAATAAAAGATTGAAGACTTTCTCATTGCTCGACAAAAGGCTTAATCCGCTCAGTTTTGGAGAAGAAATTATTTAAATGTATCTTAACATGCGTAATTAACAGCATGACTATAACTCAGGTGTGCCTCAGGTTGGTCACAATACTTCTGATATATGTGCAGTTATGAGGCCAGTTTGATGTTTCTCAGTGAGGACATAAGAAATGCCTTTTGGCAGTGAGATAGACATTCTATTCACAGGTGAAAGCTCTGGTGGACATTCCTGCCGTCAGCATGCGAAAACCTTCCAACATCTGTGTCTTTGTGTTCTGTGTGATAAAAACTGCACATCTCAGAGTGGCCTCTTACAGTGACCAGCACATGGCACACATGTGCAAAAAGCCTGCTATTTAATCAGAACCTTGTCAGCTCGATGAATTATCTTGGCAAAGAGCGGGTGTCATGTTTTCTTTTTTGTCCAACAGCTTCAGTGAGAGCAGCAGTTAGTGGTACTGCAGACAAACTGCACAGTCAAGATCAGTGGAACTCTTTGTCACTATTAATGGTTGCCACTGATGGAAGTCAGTCAGAAGAATGTCAGAAGACAGTAAATGAAAGTGTTGTAAATAATACACTATTTACATATTCAATACAGCTGAGTTTATTGCACAAAACTCAGAGCTGGGTTCTGAAACAAATATATACAACATTTTGATTTCTAACTATTGCTACAAGAGAATAGGCCAGTGACCATCAACTGGTGACCCGTGAGCCACATCCGCCCCCTCAAAGTGTCCCATTAGGCCCCAAGAATATAAAAATTATCTTGGGAAGATTAAACAATTAACCTTAAAAATAAAATCACAAGGCTTAAATACTTACATAAGGTAAATGTGAATAATTACATTTACCCTCTGATACCAACTTCTTCACATGTGGGTTGACAGATGTCAGGCTTATGTGCGAGCATATTTTAAAGTCCGGCCCCCACATCGTCTCTTAAGGAAAGAATCTGACCCCTTGTACAAATGTAGATGATCCCTGGAATATGTTTTCAGTATTAAACACATTTTTTAATAGATAACTATATTTGGATTAAACATGTATTTTTCATTAAAAATATGCTGTAGAAATTTTGTGTTACATATAAGTTTATAGAATTAAATACAACCAGTGAAAATGTTAAACTTGACTGATGTCAGAACCTTATGGCAGGAGGATTTGGTTAGGTGCACTTCGGTGCTTACCGAAGGTCCCTGAGTGCAACTGCACTGTGTCAGAAAACGCTGTGTTTTGATATAACCAGCTCCAAGTCAGACTTGCAGCGAACTGTTTTTCAAAGCACTACTAGGCTATTTGTTCCTGTTGCTGTGTTGATTCTGTTCTCACTGCAACTGAACCGCTCCAGGGTTTGATTGGCAGGAAGCTGAGACCATCCCTTCAAGGCGATCTGGGCTAGCTTGTTTTGTTCCGCATCGGAGTGCGATTTAAGATTTTTAGATATGCCCAAACGAGGTGGGCCATTTAAAAACCCCACACTCGTTTCCGGACAACCTCTCCAAACTAAGAAAAAAGCCTCACATTTTCCGAGTGTCACCTCACAATGGTTACTAATTCTTTTGTACAGTCTTTGTTCAAAAAATATGTTTTCTCCTCAAAGAAAGTTTAGTTTCAAGTGGGTAAAGCCTTTAATTGTTTTACTAAAAGCACTTAACATGACTCTGAAATGTAAGGGCTAAAATGAAAAAAGGACGTGTTATTATAAGGTTTTTTTTTTTTCTTTAATTACAGCTCGTAGGACCTGGTATCGCACCCTTCATTAAAGCAGGTTCATCCATTTTCACAGGCACTCAGACTCTCAGATAATCAAGAAGGAACAGAGATGGAGGTGTGACGGAGGCTTTTCGCCTCGTTGTTATTATCCTCCACTCCTGCATTTTACCCGCCAATATTAATGACTGCGTTCCCTGTTTGCAGCCGTCAGGCTTTGATGCATTTGTGTGTTGTAATCACAAGGACCTATAATTATCTGCCCCAAGTGGGAACAACTCCAACTGAAAAATGGATCTTCTAAGAATTTAATTTAAAAGTCAAAAGACCCCTGTGTTGCTGCTTCATTAATCTAGTACACAGCTTTTCATAAATATATTTTTTTTTCTGTGGCTTGAGTGGTGAGCTACATCTTTTTGAAACTCTCAGATTGTAAATTAAACGGTTTGAAATATCATGTGGGAGGGCACGGACTGACTCCTTTCTTTCTCAAGTTAATTGAACTTTTGTTTTTCTGCAGTGACAGCCGATACTCCATCTTTTTTTTCTTTTCTGGGCACTTCCTCTCTCAGTCACACGGCAAAGTCGTTGTCCTCATCCATCAGGAGGATGCCAGAGCCTGTCACACCTCTACAAACAAGTGCTGCCCAGAGTTCTACCATGCTGTATGTGTACTTCACCTTCTAAATAAATAAAATCACTCTCTCTCCTTAGTAGTCTCTGACTCAGTCTGGGTCATCTCCGGTCAGAGAGCCGCTCAGATCTGGGCTTCACAGTGGACTAACCCCACAGAGACAACACAGAGGGATGACTTTTATCCCAGATATCAATAATGCTGGAACCAACGGCTGATGGCACCAGTTAAGTGTGAGTGCCAGCTTGTGATGGGACTCCAGGTTTGGTATGAAAAATAAAATGTTGAAAGGATGTTTATTAGTATTAGCATGGAGTCGTGTTTGAAATATGCTCTGAGCTGAATCCATCTAAACTCATTACAGATTCAGGAATCTACAGAGAGTGAACCAAGAGAAGACCGCGGGGATGTGAGGGGTCAAAAGAGCAGTCAACTTCAAACTAAGAACTAATACAGCTGCAATTGTTGTGAATATGAATATGTTGATTAAAAAAACATTGTTCCACATCTCCAACAAGACAAATATTTCATTTTTGTATAAGATGTAGAAAACATTTATCTGTACTTGTCAGGTGAACGTGGCTTTTAATAAGTAAAATGACATATTTCTGATAAGAAGTAAGGTAAGCAAACTGTCAGATTCAAAAAATTTTCATTGTGGTGCTTTGAAAATGAAAGTTCACGGACCTTGTTTGTCGCTGTGACATTTATTTAAAAGCAAACTTGGTCTTGTCTGGGTCTCTCCCTTGCCTCGGTCTTGGTCTTGACTCGGTCTGGGAGCACTCAGGTCTCGGGCGTGTCTTGGTCTTGGTTAGTATGGTCTTGACTACAACATAAGTGTACTGTACTTCAAAGTCAAAACTGAAGCCTTGAACAGAGAAAATGCTGCACACTACTCTTGCTCAGCACCAATATTTATTTTAAAAAAACACAACGTTTCGCTTCCTTCATCTCTCAAACTGTTTCCACCACCATGCTCTTGAGCAGACATTGCTCTGCCTGCTGTGTGTGCACAGGTGTGGGACATTTGGTCAACTTATAAGTGTCTCTCAATCATCAGCAGTAACTTGTGCAAAGTCACTCACCACATGAGTGATGATGATGAGATCATGGTGGTGGAAATTGTTTAACAGCACACATTACAAAAGTCCAGAGGGACAGAAATGTTGTGCTT